CAGATTTTCACAGATTGGCAATTCAAAATATAAAAAAAAAAAAAAAAAAAAAAAAAAAAAAAAAAATCACTGATGAGAATAGTTTTCCTCTACTGCTTCTAGACCTTCTTACCTGTGCACTTGAAGAGGTAGAAATATTTCTAAGTGATTTATTCTAGTAATTTGTTTTTGGTATTTAGAATAGGAAGCCTCATGTACTGTCCTAGTTGTAGAATAGAATGTTCACTATATTGCTCAAAACACTGGATCATTTTAAACGCTCTTCAAAAGGGAGACAGGTTTGGTTCTCTTCAAATCCCATATAAAATTACTAGTGTTGGCTGGGTATGTTGGCAAAGGCCTGTAATTCCAGAACTCAGGAAGCTGAAGAAGGATGATTGAGAGTTGCAGGTCTACACAGCAAGTTTGAAACTGGCCTGGACTAGAGAGTAAGGCCCTGCTTCAAAAAACCAAAATTACTGGAGTGTTGAGAACATATATATGACAGAATACCAGAATGCATGTGGTGTTACACACCTGTAATCCTAGCATTCAGAAGGCTAAGGCAGGAGGATAGCCATGATTTGAGGACAACCTGAGCTACAAAGTAAATTTGAGGCCAGCCTGAACCACAGTTAAACCTCTCAAAAAGAAAAAAGGGAGAAAAAAGAGAGAAAGTACTACCACATTACTACCTAAACATTATCCTAAAATTACCATGAGCTAAATCCTCTTGGATTAGGAAGTAAATTTATTTCCAAAAACAGATTAGAAAATAAATTTATTTCCAACTAAATGTGGTTGAGAACACTGTTAAATTTCTCCAGTCATTAATTTTAAAAACTCTGCTTTTCTTTTGGTATCAGGAACTGAACTCAGGACATTGCAACTATATCCCCAGCCAACCTGGTTTCTGTTTTTGTTTTTAGTACTAGGAATTGAACTCAGGACTTTGAGCTTGCCAGAGAGGCATTTATGCCACTGAGCTGGCTCCCTAGCCCCAATCTTGCCTTTCTTAACCAATTTTTTTCTTTTTTGAGACAGGGTCTTGCTACGTAGTCTAGAATGGCCTTGAACTCACTCTGTAGCCAAGGCTAGGCTTAAACCTGTGGTGACCCTCCTGTATCACCTCCAGAATGCTGGAATCACAGACATCCACCACTACATCCAGCCTTTTAACCAGTTTTTTAAGGCACATTTATTTATGACACAATTCTGAGATTGGAATGTCAAAAATGGAGCATGCTGAGCTTCTTAATTTTTACTGTGAACCTTAAAACAGAACAGTATTTCCCTAAAAGTGACTGAAGTATAAAGATGGAAACATACATATGATTAAATATGCATATCTCTGACCAGTGTGAAAATGACCCAGAAGCCTCTGCTGGGCCTGTCCAACTAGACAACCAGTTAGAATTTTTAAAAAGTCAAAAAGTGCTAGATTTAAAATCACATAACCCTGTAAGCAGTTCAAAACAGTTTCCTTTCATTTGATAAACCTGTCACCATTCTCAATTTACCTATCAACATTTTGAGCAGTAAAGTTAAATTGTAAAACACTCTTCAAGCACTCCAGGATTTGAGAGCACCTATACTTGCAAAAACTAAAAATCCGAAAAACTTCCGATCAACTCACATTCTATCAGATCAAAACAGATTGTGGATGCTAAGACAGCAATTAACCAAGAACTTTTTTATACCTGAAAACTCCTTCTTCCATATCTCCCTGTCAGGTTGTTTTTTCTTTTAAATAAAATGCTGAAAACATACATCTGACATAATCTGACATTTTACTAAGTAAGAAAGAGCAGCACCCAAATAAGACCCAGCCTTAGTAAGTATACTAGAAAGCAAGAAACAGAGCTGTAATAGTATTCATGATTGGGGTCTCTACTAGTAACTTTCCCATGGATCGAGCAAAATGCTCAAAAAATCAAAATTACTAGAGTGTTGAGAACATATATATGACAGAATACTAGGCTGCAAGTGGTGGTACACACCTGTAATCCTAGGACTAAGAAGGCTAAGCCAGGATAGCCATGATTTGAGGACAACAAATTATTAGAGTAAATCACTTAGAAATGTTTCTGCTTCTTCAAGTGCGTGGGCAAGGGGGTCTAGAAGCAATAGAGGAAAACTATTCCCATCAGTTAATTTTTTTTTTTTTTTTTTGTCTTTTTCCTTTTTATCGGTACCGGGGATCGAACTCACGACTGCCTGCTTTCAAGGCAGGTGCTTATGCCACTGAGCTAAATCCCCAGCCCCCCATCAGTGATTTTAAAAATATTTTTAATTGCCAATCTGTGGAAATTTTGAGTATTTATTTTGCCCATGTTTCCAATTAGTTCGGCCGATGGTTAGCAGGTATCAAGCCAGAAGGATACATGACAGGAGACCACAAAAAAAGAAAGATGCTCACCCCATGACAGCAATGAGGCAGAGAGAGAATGGAGGGAGGATCAGGGGACAAAAATACACTTTTAGGTAACACACCCAGTGATCCACCTTTTGTGGGCCCTCCTCCCAGCAGCACAATCAGCTATGACACAAAGACATTCCAAACACATGAGATTTTTGGGGGACATTTTAGATAAAAAAAATAACAGGTTCATACTAGGGAAATGCAGATGTGGCCTCAACTATAACATGATCCCTCTCATCAACAATCCTAATCCTTTTGTACTTTAAGCATGTTTTAAGTATTCCAGTCCAAAACTCTCAGGAATTCAGAAATTAATTTATAGCTGTCAAGGTTTTAAAATACATTTATTAGCCAAGAAAAAACTGACTTAATATCTTTAATAAAAAATGACCTTGCAGTAATCTCCAAACAAGCAGTTTAAAACCACAAGTTCTTAGGTAAGGGAAACATGATTGGAAGCTTTATTTTTGTGGGTCCATATCCACTTTGTAAGAAGAAATAAAAAGCAATCAAAATCCAGTCACCTTGCACCAGATTGATCTCACAGTTGTAATCCTTATCCTATAGCACATAAGTCAGTAACATATCAACTACATAGCAGTGTCAGGACTTGGGTGCCAACATATAATGACTCATAGTTACACTTGGTCTAAGACAATACTCTTCACCTAAAAGCTATTTGAAGCGAACTCCAATCTAAACTTGGTATTCATCCTTCCAGAAAAATGTTCAAAACAATTTTTACTGAATTTAGCTATTATTCTGTCCACATACCAAGCAAGACTACCACTTTAGAGAAACCAACAAAATACCTACACAATGTTACTAAACTCCTCATCTATAAAGAAACACTATTTCATTAGTAACAAAGCCTACTTTTGTATAGCGATGGGGGGACTTGGTGGCCGGCAGCTTCTTCAAGTCAAGGAAAGCATCTCCATTTTCTGTTTCACCCACATTTCTCCTATCCATGGTTCCTTGTCTAAAACTTTTTACACCTGGAAGATAAATCAGTGTGAAACTGTCATGAATAATAGCTTTCAGAAGTTTTAGCTGCTTTTTTTTTTAAAGGAAGCTTTATCTCTTAAAATAGTTTTTAAAAGAAAAACTTCCAAAGATGATGGCATAAACCAAAAGCAATTTGGAAACACTATTACAGAGGCCAACTTACACTTCCTAGTGAAGTATTCTAATCATCAACAGAGCAAAGAAGGCAGAAAGGAAAGGTGCTCAACTTAAAGAGTACAATATTTAGCCAGCTTTTAATACAAAAAGAAACACTATTAGTCGCAGCTGACCATGGGGACAGCTCAGAAGTAGGCAAGATTCTCGGAGTGGGGGCAGGTAGGAGACTGGCTCGGGCGGGGATCCGGGAAGTCAGGCTGTTGTAAAGTGCCTGTCACTTGCCAATGGACGGCGCCAGCTGCCCCTGGTTATCCGAGTCATTGGCTGGGACGGAGCCCGAGCGCCCCTCTTCCAGTCGGCCGCACCTGTGGCCGTGCCAGGGGCGCCCTTGGCAAGGAAAAGACGAGCGGAGGTTTCAGCTCTAAAACTCAGCTTTCCCAGGTCAACCTCCGGCCCCTCGCGCAGGCCCTGGCCGAGGTGGCCTCTTCGGAGGAAGGGCGGGGACAGTACTCACTGAGAGAGGCGGGCCGAAGACAACCAGGAGGCCAAATCCCCGGCCAGGGCACTTCGAGCTGGAGCTGCAGCTGGCGTAGGCCCGCCACCATCCACCGCTACCCGGGCCCAGCCAGTCCGCCTGCTGCCCGCCGGCCGCCCTGCGGGTTTCTATCCCCTGCCCGCCACCCGCGCGCGCCCCAACACTAGCGCTCGAGATCCCAGAAGCATCCCTGCAGGCCCAGCGCACGGACTCCTAGACCCTGCCTCCAGACCCTTACTCGATGGCTCCGCCGCACGGCGGCCCTTCGCCTCGGCCGCCGCTCCCCTCCCTGCCGCCCGCTCCGGTCCCAGCGTTGCTTCCCGCGGCCTCCACTCTACCCCCCCACCCGCTCGGGCTGTCTCTCTCGAGCCGCCGTAACTGCAGCCCGTCCCCTCGCCCCTCTCTCCCGCCCCCTTCCCCTTAATAACTCCCTCCACGCACCCGGGCCCCAGCACCGCCTTCGCCGCTGCGCGCCCGGATGTGAGGTGTCTGTGGTGGTGCCGGGCGGAAAAGAGAAGCATTGCGGCGCGCTCACTGGGCCCAAGACCTTGCGCGGACCCAGAGGTGGGGAAGAAGCGGCCGGAAGGAGATGCGAGTCTGGGCAGGGAAGAAACTGCGGTTGAGATAGTGGAACTTCGCCCCCGTGCGCTCAGGCGGTCGCCGTGGGCAGCCCCGGGGAGGGCACCGTGTTCCCACGCGTGATGAGGCGGCGGGACGGGAGGTGCTAGGGATCCGAGACACGCGCGGCGATGTCCTAGATGGGCAAGGATCTACAGCTACCCAGTTGGTGTGGTAGCCGCCGGGGCTTCAGCACTGGGAACCTAAGTTACGGGAACTCAGCTGTATTTTTTACTAATGGAGTTATGTTGGGTTCATTCTTTGTATAATGAGGATTAGGCTGTAGATGGAGTTGCTGCTTTAAGCTCCTTACAGTTACTTTAGATACCGATAAGAACTGAAATTCATTGAAATGGGCTTTGTCACCCATAATCTCATCTTTCCTAAATCAGCCCTCACAAGGACAAACGCGGATGTAGTTGAGAGAAAATGAGCAAATGCCAGATGCATAGCAAGTGGTACCAAGACTTAAGTTGCACAGAAATGCAAATACAGTGTGTGAGCAGCGCCAAAAGAACTGCTGCGATGAGGAGGTCGTGACAAATAACTGGCCTACGATTACATCTCGAGCCACCGTTTCTACCCGGTGGGATTATTCCGAGTTAATGATACGTGGGCGTGGGGAGAAAACATTGTTTCGTTAAAGAGCCGGCGAAGTCTTTTTTTTCAAAGGATCTTTTTGAAATATCACTTTACTTGAAAAACGAGGGGGCTGAACAGAGAATGGTCACTTAGCTCCCTTCCTGTGAGCCTCGACAACAGAGAACAATTACAGCATTTTTTTCTTGTCTGTATTACTAAATAAAATCTGTCTCAGAAACTGTCTTTTTTATTAACATTTTTTGCTTTAGACAAGAGGCAGACAAATTCTGAATCAGCGTCCCCCTACAGGCCATGGAGTGAAGCGATTTATCCTTATCCTTGGTTTTTTTCATCTGAAAAACTGGGAAGATTATAACCCACTTACAGAGCAGTCGTCAAGATTAAATAGAACAAGGTGGGTAAAAAAACATATACAACCTCTGTAAAGCTTTTAGGTCTTTATTTTTTAAAGACTTCAAGAGGGCAGAGGAAAAAATTTTCTAGGTCTATACAGAGACACAATGTAGGTGATCAAGCAACCATCAGTTTTTGTTATTTTAAAAACCAAAATTCCTGGACAAGGGATGTAACTTGGTGATAAGAGTACTTGCCCAGCTGTAATGAGGCCTTGGGTTTGATCCCCAGCACCCAAAAAACCCAAAACACAAGATTTTTCCTTTTTTTGTTGTCATGAAATTTTTTGAACTGAAAAGATGTCCATTACACTCCATGAAGTGAAACAACATATTACAAAACAGTATATATGGTATTGCCAATTTTCAAAAATGCATTCATTTATAGAGCTATCAAGAAATCTACACTCAGGAGGCTGAGACAGGAGGATTACCATGAATTCTAGGTCAGCCTTGGTGACATAGTGAGGTGCAGCCTGAACTGTATAGCAAGATCCTGTCTCACAAAACCAAAAGAAAAAAAAAAAAAAACCTTCCAGAATGACATTCACTTAACTTTTAATTTGCCTCTGGGAGTGAGATGCTCAGCACATTTTTCTTTTTGTTTAAGAGTATTTTTTGAGCTAGGTGTGGTGGCACACACCTGTAATTCCAGCACTCAGGAAGCTGAGGTAGGTGGATTGCTGTGAGTTTGTGGCCAGCCTGGGCTACAAGTCAGTCCAAGGCCAGCCTGATGATGATCTTAAAGTGAGGAGAAATAAAAGTAATTCCCTAAAAAAAAAAAAAAAAAAAAAAAAAGATTAATCCCCTACCTACTATATTTTCCCAAAATAAGACCTAATCTGAAAATAAGCATCTTTCAGGATGCTCATAATATAACCCCTACTCCAAAATAAGATCCAGTTAAATTGTCAGACAATTTAATAACATGCTGCAACACATGGTGGACATTGAAGTATAAAATACGTATTTTTGACATTAACAACATAAATTAGAATTAAGTACTTGTAAATACTCAAACAGGTGCCTTTGGATGATAGGCAAATGCCTGTGTAAGGATGAACTTGACTTATTGATGAATCACCAGTCAGTACACACATAATGCATGTATAACATTGTTTAATAATAAATGGACATCATTGTGTCTAATAGGAATCTTCATAATTCAATATGTTGTGTGTTGTGGTGGATATACTTACTGCACTCATGTGAAACATTTTCTAATTTTGGTACCTACAGTTTTTTGTTGCTTTTGTGTGGGCTATCATTCTTTTTTTTTTTTTTTTTTTTTTTCCTAAAATCTCAGTGTTGAGAGCTATCATTCTTAACTGTCGTCGTTTTGTTGTCACTCATGTCTTAAATCTTCAATTAACACTTGATTTAGGGGCTGGGGATTTAGCTCAGCCGCATAAGCGCCTGCCTTGCAAGCAGGCAGTCGTGAGTTAGATCCCTGGTACCGATAAAAAAAAAACAAAAAACACTTGATTCAGTAGAAACTGTGAAACCTTTCCTACAAGAGGGTGTGACTTAAGGTGAAGAATTCTGTGGTATAAAATCACCTGACAGGAGCCAGGGATTTAGCTCAGCAGCATAAGCACCTGCCTGGCAAGCGCGTGGATGTGAGTTTGATCCCTGGTACCAAAAAAAAAAAAAAAATCACCTGACAGCCATGTTACCAATGTACTGTGAACTGGCTATGTGGACAAGAAGTACTCATTTAGGGAGTGCTGTATTGCTGGACATGAGAGATTGGGGTAAATGGTTCTAGAGGACATGGAGTCAAGAAATTCAGATTGGAAGTTGGGCATGGTGGCACATGCTTAGAATCCCATTATTAGGGAGGCTGAGTCAGGAAGATCAATCGAGTTCAAGGCTAGCTGGAACTACATAGTGAAACCCTGTCTCAACAAACCAAAACACCCAAAAAGAAATTCAGGTTGAAATCTGAGGCTTGTAGAGTTTCAGAAAAAAGTTAACTGTAAATGTAGATTTTTGCACATGAAGTTTTTGTACATGAATAAATGTGGATTGTTGTATGCAAAAAAAAAAAAAAAAAAGACATCCCTTGAAAAGACCACCTATTGTGTCTTTTGAAGCAGAACAACGTAAGACCAGGTCTTGGGCCAGGGATATAGATTAGCGGGATAAGCACCTGCCTACAAGTCCAAGGTCCTGAGTTTGATTCCACATACAAAAAAAAAAAAAAAAAAAGATCAGGTCTTATTTTCATGAATACAGTATTACGGAATGCAGAGGAAGACTCCTACTTCCATGCTGGGGGTCAAATCTTAAGACCTTGTTCGTATTATGCAAGTGTATACCATGACTATAACCCCAACAAGAGAAGGGGTATTCTTGAAGCTAAATCCTTACTTTCCTACTTAGTATGGAACCTGAGGCAGGCACTTCTCTCTAAACATCAGTTTCAACCAGGCACAGTGGCGCACACTTGTTATTCTAGCATTTAGGAGGCTGAGGCAGGAGGCTCACTGAGAGTTCAAGGCCAGCCTGAACCATATAGGGAAACTGCCTAAAAAAAAAAAAAAAAAAAATCCACCAGTTTCCTCATTTGTCAAAGGGATAACAGGATTTACTTTTCAGGCCTGTGGGAGGAGTTAATATAAAATTTCTTGGGTTTGCCAGGCATACCAAATGCCTGTAATCTCAGCATTTGGGAGGCTGAGGCACAAGGAGCACTGTGAGTCCAAGGGCAACCTAGGCCACATAGTTCAAAGCCAAGCTGAACTACAGGGCTGGGGATTTAGCTCAGCAGCATAAGCACCTGCCTTGAAAGCAGGCAGTCGTGAGTTTGATCCCCGGTACCGATAAAAAAGGAAAAAGACAAAAAAAAAAAAAAAAAAAAAAAAAAAACTCAGGGTGAGATGTTGCTTAGTGATGAAATATGAGCTTATGTCCTAGGCCTGTGTTCAATCCCTGGTACCACAAAAACACTGATCTAGTTATTTCTTGTGCAGTCAAACACCCCAAAACTTAGAGGCTTAAACCTGTATTTATTTTGCCTCCACAGTTGTAAATTAGGCTGCTATCAACTGACACAGCTGGTCTTGGCTGTAGTCAGCATCACCTGGGACAGCTAAAGGCTGTGGAATGGGGCCACCTAAAATCTCACTTGTTTGGTACTTGAAGATTACTGTCAGATGGGCCATTGGTACTTTGTCTGGAACACTTATATGTGGCTTTGTTGTTGTTGTTGTTGTTGTTGGTCTTTTTGAGACAGGGTCTCACTATGCAGTTCAGGCTGGCCTTGAGCTCACTTTGTAGCCCAGGTTGGTCCTGAACTCAAAATGATTCTGCCTCAGCCTCCCAAGTGCTGGAATTACAGGTTTGTGCCACCATGCCTGGCTGATGTGGCCTTGTAATGTGGCTTGAATGTCAGATTCCAAGTGGAAGTATTCCGGGAGAGGAAATGGCCAGATAGTTGCTGCACTTTTTTGTTTTTTACTGCCTCATTTTGGCTTACGATGGAATAGGTGCTAAGCAAGAACTCTACTAACAAGCTACACTCCTATAGCTCTGCACTGCCAGCCTTGAAGTCACTCAGGGTTAGTACTGCCCTTTGCCACTTTCTGTTCCTTGAAAAGGAGGCACTAAGGCTGGCCTGCATTCAAGGGGAAGAGAGTTAGCTGACTTTTTCATATGGGAGGAATGTTAAAGAACTTATACATGTTTTAAAACCATCACAGTCAGGGGCTGGGGATTTAGCTCAGCGGTATAAGCACCTGCCTTGCAAGCAGGCAGTCGTGAGTTTGATCCCTGGTACCGATAAAAAGGAAAAAGACAATAAATAAATAAATTACATAGGATCTTTGCCTCAATTCACTTCTCAGTCTATCCTAGTAAAAGACAGTTATTTCCTAAGAGTAAAAGTAATACTTTATGAAGAGAATCTGTAAGCTTTTTGCACCTGTGCCATGCAAAAACTAGAGGGTTGCTAATTGTTTCAGAATAACTTTGACATGTTCTCTATGCCAAGAATAATTTGGAATTACAAGTACTGTCTCTTTCTTTTCTTTTTTTGGTCCTGGGGATCGCAGTTATAACCTTGTGCTTGCCAGGCAGGTGCTTGTGCCACTGAGCTAAATCCCCAGCCCTACTATTGTCTTTTGTAACAATATATTTTCAAGTATTAGTATGGGAAATGCCTTTAAAAGAAAAATTATTCATTCTATTATTTTTTATTTATGAAATATTTTTAGGAATTTGGTTTAGGACCAGACTATTAAAAAAAATCTAACACAAGGGCCAGGTGCAGTGCATGCCTGTAATCCTAGCACTTGGGAGGCTGAGGTAGGAAGACTGCTGTGAGTTCAAGGCCAGTTTGGAATACATAATAAGTTTGAGTCCAGCCTGAACTACACAGCGAGACCGTGCTTCAAAAGACAAAAACAAAACACCAAAGTTTGACAGGACCCAGTTCAGTCAGTGGAGGAAACTGACAAAGAAGTATAGAGAAGAAAATGAAAATTTTGGAAACCTATGAGAATGCCTTTGAAGATTTACTGTTAGGTCATAATCTTCAAAGCTTCATCTTAAAAGGCTAAGAATAAGCTAGGCGGGGCTGGGGATAGCAGCATAAGCACCTGCATTGAAAGCAGGCAGTTGTGAGTTCGATCCCTGGTACCAATAAAAACGAAAAAGACAAAAAAAATTTTTTTTAAAGAATAGGCTAGGGATTTAGCTCAGCAGCGCAAGCACTTTCCTGGCAAGTATGAGATTATGAGTTCAATCCCCTGTACGGAAAAAAAAAGAAAAGTACCAAGATTGTATCTCTCTAAATAGGCTTGTTCCTTCTAAGTTTTTTTCCTCCAAGGCTGTTTCCTAATCTGAGCCAAATGGCACAAACCTGTAATCCCAGCACCCTGGAAAGGTAAGATAGAATGATTAAAAGTTCAAGCTTATCCTGGAAATTTAGTAAATTACTAAGACCCTCTACTAACAAATTAAAAATGGGCTGGGTACCTCAGTCCAAAGGGTTCAATCCCCAGCACTAGTGTGTGTTTAATCTCTAGTTTAAAGATGCTAGGCATTTCACCCTAGAATCCTATCATCAGGTTAACCCTGAGAAAGAAATTACTATTAAAGGAACTTCCCAAAGATAATTATTAGCAGACATAAGGCCCTGCTGTGATTTACATGCTTTTGTTTTGTTTTGCTTTGTGGTGCTAAGTATCAAAACCAGGGATTTGAGCATGCTAGGCAAAAACTCAAAGAACGAGCTATATTCCTAGCCCAATATCTTTAATTTATAAATGGGCAATATTTAATACAGAGCCATACATTAAGCTATTATTATATATGTACCATTATTTTCTACTTTTTTTTTTGTACCAGGAATTGAACTCAGAACCTCACGCTTGCCAGGCAGGCACTGAGCTATATCCCTGGCCCCACTTTCTATTCCTTCCCAACAGGTATAATTACTTCTATTTTTTTATTTAAAAAAAATTTTAAAAATATTTTTATCTTTTTGAGACAGCATCTCACTATGCAGTTTAAGCTGGCCTTGGGCTCACTTTGTGGGCCAGGCTGGTCTTAAACTTGCAACAGTCCTCTTGCCTTTGCCTCCCGAGTGCTAGGTTTACAGGAGTGTGCCTCCATACCCAGCTGTAATTACTTTTGTTAAACTCATGTGAAAATGCCTTGTGTCCCTTCCTCAATCAAAGCTGAAGGTGGTAAATGAACATGACAAGAATATGTCAGCAAATTAGCTCAAATCCAGAAAGTAGTCTGATTTATCATCCTGAATATGGCATATTTACATAAAAGTACTGGGGTGGGGATTTAGCTCAGTAGCACAAGCACCTGCCTGGCAAGCTCAATGTCGGAGGAACTCTGGGAAAAAAAAGTACTTATAAGACAAATGTTATAATAAGTAAAAGTTACAGTATTATGACTATATGGTGCATCAAAAATTACCTTAAAACACTTGGTCACACAATTTTTATCCCTAAAAGATTGGCTTTTGTAGCTAACATAGAACTTTTTAAAAACTTATTCTTCCCCAAGTACTACTGGGGAATGAACCTAGGGTTTTGCGCATGCTAGGAAAGCTCTCCACAAGTTACTTCCCCAGCCCCTTTATTTTATTATTTATTTATTAGTTTGTTTTTTTGAGACAGAGTCTGGCTATGTAGTTCAGGCTGGCCTTGAATTCCAGCAACCATGCCAACTCAGCCTTCCCGGTGCTGGGATAATAGGCGTTCAGCACCACTATGCCTGGTTACCCTGTAATTTTTAAATACAGGTCCAAATAGCTCTGGGTGGCCTCCAACTTGGAATCCTACTGACTGAGCATCTGGTGTAGCTAGGATTACAAACCTGTGCCACTGTGCCTGGCCACTTTTTATAAATTACAAAAAAATTGTAAATTCCCAGAAGCTGTAGTGTACATTGGTAATCCCAGCACTGTGGGAGGCTGAGGCAAGAGGCTGTGGGAGGATCACAAATTCATGCCTAGCCCAGACAATGTAGTTGAGGCCCTGTCTAAAAATTTTTAAAAGGGATAAAGGGCTGGGGATATACTTCAGTGGCACAGGGCCTGCCTGACAAGTGCGAGGTCGTGTTTGATTCCCAGTACCAAAAAAAAAAAAAGGCGCGCAGCGCGGAGGTGGGGGGTGGGAGGGTGGGGTGTCGGCGGGGGAGCTAAAAATGTAGTTCAGTGCGGAATTCAATCCCCAGTACCATCAAAACAAAAAACTTGTACAGTACCTAAAAACAGGGAAAACCAGCTGGGGTGGTACAGGTCTGAAATCCCAGCTCTTGGGAGTCTAAGGCAAGAGGATCGCTGCGAGTTTAATGCCTAATGGGCTACGCAGTTCAAAGCCAGTCTAAAGAAACAGCGAAACCCTGACTCAGAAAAGTGCAAAAAAAATTTTTAAAGGGTAAAAATGTAAGTCATTTGGCATTTCCAATCCTAAAACACCCACGTGCGCCGCCACGCCTAGTTGTCTTCGTATTTCTAACATGAAATGTTTCAACCACTTAAATGAGTAATGCTAACTTTTGCTCTCTGCAGAAATCTCAAGTGCTTTCAGATGTCTTACAAGGGAAAAATATATGAAAATGTACCATTTACCCTCTCCCACCAATGTTTAAAAGATTATCAGTGGACCCAAATTTTAAAATATATTTACTATAATTATAAAGGAATGGTTATAAGAATATACCAGCATAAAATACTAATTCTGAGGCTGCAAGAACCCCACTCCCCCCCCCCACGCCCTCCAGGTCACAGCAACCTCCTAGTTCCATGGCCATATTCACGGTTGCGGCTTGCACTCTCTGAGAACTCTGAAGAACCTAGAGATAGGGGAAGGAACACTTTTCCGCCGCTCCTGTCGACGGACCAGAACTTAATCCCTAGTGTTTGGCCACAGCAGTCGTAAATTGGGGATCTGCCTCCCAATAGCTCTCACTCCTTTGATCTAAGAAATGCAGTAGGAAGCTGAGCTCAGAGAGAAATGACTAGCCAAGTAAACGAAGAAAAAACCGCAGGAGGGTCCAGGCAGGGAATTAGCTCTCCCAAGTACCGTCTATCTCGAACCGTCTCATCCACTCAAAACTAGAGGTAGGCGTATCACTTGCACTACTGAGGCTGAGCGAACTGTAACATCCGGGGCGGGGCGCCTGGTGAGCGCCGCGTCGCCCTGGAGACGGGGGTGGGGTCAGCACAAGACTTGAATCTGAAGAAGCGCGAAGAGCAAAAACCTGTTGTGGGCTGCGCTGACCTGAGGAGGCCTTTTGAGTCAGCTGTATCTCGCCACAATTCCTCCCCGGCGCCACGCCGGAGGTCTGTGTTTTCTCAGGTACGAGGCCCATTTTGATCTCAAGTCCCCATCTTTTAAGTGGCCCGGCTTCTTCTCTGTGAGCCCGGAAGCGAGCGCAAATGCTTGAGTTAGGCCCTGCCTCTTCTCTGGAGCCGCGGTTTCTCTTTAAAGGTGCTGCTGGCCTGGGTCCGAGCCCACTCAAGACTGGCGTGCGGGAGTACCAGTCAGTTTAGGGATCCCAGCTGCGTGGCTGGGCGAGCGACTAGGTGTTAGCATTCAGCCCAGGAATTCTCCCCCGAAGTGAGAGGTGGGTGCTTCGTTTTTATTTTTCTGGGAGACCGTTCGTATGTGTGGTCAATCTCTGCGTAGCTGTGTTGTATTTGTTGAGGGGACGGCTTAGGCACTTGAGTACTAGTTCTAGTTCCGTACAGCTAGAGGGATTGGGTATTTGTTTATGAAATGAAGATGGTCGTCACCTGCTGAGGTGGTTGTATTAAAGTACTTAATCTGTGAAAATTGCTTACTATTGTGGCTGGCAAGGAGTACCCCGCCTTATAAGTGCTATTTCCATTCTAGTCTATACATTTTACGTCGGTACTGCCCTAAGTGGTGTGAAAATACGAGACGTCTGAGATGGCTTCTTGAAATAAGTAGTTAAAACTTATTCTGGGGTTTAAAATATAAACTCTTCGTTTCTCTTTAAAAAGAGCATTCTTTTTTTTAGTCTTTGTTAGAAACTGCAAAATACTGTAGGAAGTTCAAGATATTTTTATATTTTGCAATTAATATGAGATTGAAAAATTAATATTAAAGTTTATGGCAGAAAGTAACCCCAAACTCCATTCCTCTAGCTGTTTCTTTTAATGTTATTTGTAGATTTATAAATTGGAAGTATTTTTATAGTGATGTTTCTCCATTTGTTAGTTTTACACTTTGTATTGAGTGTTATTCATGGGACTTAAGTACTTAACTCATAATTTTTCTTTGTTCATCATCCAAAGTGGTTACCCAGTAGTTTGTTGTTAAAATAATGTGTTTACATTGCTTGACATGTCAAATAACTTCTGAACCATCTTTGAAAGACTAATGCCAAATAAGGTCACATTCATAAGTATCAGAGGTTAGAACATCAGTATATCTTTTGGGGGAGCCCAATTCAACCCACAACACTACTATTCTTTGCTTTCAGAAATAAATAAAATCTATGTTATTTAGTTTATAATGAATATTTTTGGTGAAAATGATCACCAATTGAAAATGAAAACTGCACACTATAACATGGAATGTTACAAAAGCTGCCTGAAGATTTTTATAGATAAAACTGACAGCCATAAATTAATCTGAAGAAAAATGTAAAATCTTGACTGCTTCTAGTGCTGCTATGAGGGGAAGTTGAAGGTGTTAGAACATTATCTGGATAAGAAGAATAAGCTAGTCACTTTTTTTTTTTTTTTTTTTTTTGGTGCTGGGGATCAAACTCATGACCTCAAACTTGCCAGGCAAGTACTTGCACCACTGAGCTAAATCCCTGGCCCTGCTAATCACATCCTTTAACTGTGGCTCTTTTCTTTCTTAGAAAATTTCTTAATGCAATTTAAATAGAATATTATTAAGTCAGAGACCTACCTCTTATGTTCACCTGGTGTTGAATTAAGAAGGAAAGGGGCTAGAAAGGAGCTGGCAAAGAGCTGATTAGAAATGTGACACCTTAAGTTTGCAGGTAATTTATTCTTTTCTCTTTAGTTCAAAGGGGAAAAGCCTTTGTTCCCTGAATAATCTCACTAAGAAATACATTATCAAGCCACTGGTTGAATTTTCATCAAAAAAAAGGTATGGAGAGGAAGGTTGGTGTCAGGTAAGTGACTGAACATGACAAAAAAGATAACTGGAATTGTGATTTGTAAACATTTTGTGTGTAAAAATAGTAATGAAAAATAAGAAAAAATTAGTTTCGTACATAATGAGTGATAATGTAGAAAGTATTGGGTAGGATTGTTTTGTCATTAATATTTTGTTTCTCAACTATAGTATAATTTACATTTTATACATTATTTTGAAGCAAAAAAATCATTTTGAAGTTGAGTATAGCAGAGCATGCATATAATTCCAACACTCTGGGAGGCTGAGGCAAAAAGATTGCAAGTTCAAGCCAAACCTGGACAATTTAGTGAGACCAGTTAAAAATGAAAAAAAGGCGGAGTATGTTGCTCAGTGCAAAGGTGCTGAGTTTAGTGCCCACTATTAGTTTTTTAAAAAGCCACAAAAAAATCCTTTTTATTGCCAGGCAGGTACTGCACCGGCTGAGCTATATCCCTGGTGTTTCCCTTACTTTAATCATGGTTACTTTCAAGGTGCAAAGTCTTACTAGTTCATGCTGCTCTTAAAATTACTATGTAGCCCAGGCTGGTCTTAAACTCATTGGCAGTCCTCCCACATCAGCTTGCCAAGTGCTGGGGTTACAGGTGTATTCTACCATGCCTTGCTATCAAACTTTTGATTTTGAAAAATTAAAATCCTGATTTTGACGCTGGAGGAATAGCTCAGTGGTAGATCACTTGCCTAGTATGTGCAGGGACCTGTGTTGGATCCCCAGTGCTGAAAAAATACTCTGATTTTGAATAGACGGGAGGATAATTTTAGGAGGTTAAAAGTTCTATCACCAAGGTTGGCTGACTCTCATGTCTTTTCTCTATTTTTTTTTTAGGAGCTTTTGTGTGTGTGTGTGTGTGTGTGTTTCTGTTTTCTTTTTTGGTAGCAGGAGTCAAACTTGGGGCCTCATGTTTGCCAGGCAGGTGCTGTTGCACTGATGAGCTACATCCCTGGTGTTTCCCTTACTTTAATCATGGTTACTTTCAGTCTGCATGAAAGTTTTAATTCTACATAACAGAATTCCTATCTTAGGGAAAAAAATGAAAGAATTTACCAGAAAAAGACTAAGATACTAACTCTAACAACCTTCAGACTCAGAACAGTGGACATAAGATTCACAGCTGGCTGCACAGAGGTGTACCCCTGTCCTGGACCCAGTGATTGGTTCAGCAGTAGTCATGTGACCTCATTGGGGCTTCAGAAGTGTTTTGTAAGTTTGACACAGTATTATGAAGAAAGACTCACCCTTGAGCCAGGTTCAGTGGCACAAGCCTGTAATCCTAGCACTTGGGAGGCTGAGACAAGAGAATCGTTACAGACCAGCTTGAGCTACAAAGTGAGTTCAAGGTCAGCCTGAACTGCTAGTGAGATCCTGTATCAAAAGAGACGAAAAAAAAAAAAAGGAAAGATTTACCTACCCCTATGCTAGGGTTACTCTGACAGCGTTTAATGTAGTATCCGCCATGCAGAGGCAATAAGGAGCTTATGCTAAAGGTTTGCAGGTCAGCATGCTGGGAGAAACTGGACAACCTACCAATGTTGCCTCACCAGTTCTGTTTCTTTAAGACTGGAAGATGCTAGTTGCCTTATTTGGGCTCAAATTTAATAGTCCTGGGGCTGGGGATTTAGCTCAGCTGCATAAGTGCCTGCCTTGCAAGCAGGCAGTCCTGAGTTCGATCCCTGGTACCGATAAAAATGAAAAAGACCAAAAAAAAAAAAAAAAAATTTAGTAGTCCTCCTGATGTAGACTCCCACAGTGATAAGATTACAGGTATGCACCATGATGCCTGGTTTCACTATAGTTCTTGAGCCTTGATTTCAGAGTCTTTCCAAAATAAATGAGCTAGGAAACTCTGTATTGGATGTCTTCTTCAATTTAGTATTCCAAATCTAATCTTCACTCTTGGCATCTAGGACTCTATAGCTTCCTATTGGATTTGGCCAGTGGAATCCTTGGAAAAAGGAAGGAAGGAAGAGAATGAGGCTTGGTATGTATTTCCCAGCATTTGGGAGGCTGAGGCAGGAGGCTTGTTGTGTGTTAAGACCAGCCTGAGTCACAAAGTGAGCTCAAGGCCAGCCTGAACTGTGTATGGAGAGCCTGTCTTAGAAAAGAAAAGAAAAAAAAGAATCAGCTGGTTACTGTGGTGCCTAGCTGGTCACTAGGATGCATATTATAAGAACCAATTGGGCTAGGGATTTAGTTAAGCAGCACAAGCTCCTGCTTGGCAAGTATGAGGTAAAAGTTCAATCCCTGGTACCAGAGAAAAAGAAAAGACAGTCAAGTACTCTGCTCTGTGCATTTCTTTTGCAGCTGCATAAAAATGTTTCTCCCTGGGGGCTGGGGATTTAGCTCAGCTGCATAAGCGCCTGCCTTGCAAGCAGGCAGTTGTGAGTTCAATCTCGGTACTGATAAAAAGGAAAAAGACCAAAAAAAAAAAAAAGACAACAAAATAACGTCTCTCCCTGGGCCTTCAGGGCCTGACATTTTTTTCTTGAGGTCAGTGCCCTTCGACTTAAAATAAATCTACTTTCAAATCCTGGGTGATAGGAGCTGGGGATTTAGCTCAGCTGCACAAAGCGTCTGCCTGGCAAGTGCAAGGTTGTGAGTTCGATCCCTGGTACCAAAAAAAAATTCTATCTCAAATCCTGGGTGATGTTTTGGGTGTTTCTGTCGACCATTGCACATCTTTTTCTACATGACCCAGGTTCTGTCTTTATAGTATAGTAGTACTTCCTTGTATTTAAATATCATGTTTTCTTTATAACCGTCCATATTTGGCTGTTGTGAGTAATGCCCCTACTTTACTTTTCTTTTACATGTGTATTCCGTTTATTTAAATTTTTTTTTTTTTTGGTCTTTTTCCTTTTTACCGGTACCGAGGATTGAACTCACGACTGACTGCTTGCAATGCAGGCACTTATGTCGCTGAGCTAGATCCACAGCCCCTTATTTAAAAATTTTAAAAACAAAAATAATTTTTGAGGTAATAATATATATTAATGTATTATGGTAACTTACAATAGTTATACCGTTGTTTCTAATATTACAAAAAGAAAAATTACAAGGGAAGCAGAAGACCTAATATAAATACTATAAAATCTTATTAGAATAAATAAAGTCATAAATAAAGGACCCACTGTTTGCGGGTTGGAACTTGGCAATGGCTTTGGCTACTTGCTTGTGGAGGGAAATTTGCTCACCAGATTATCCCTCAAGGGAGGCTCCAATCACCAGACACTGGAAACCCAGATCTAGGAAAAGCTGGGATGGGGTCCACTATTCACAGCACATAAGATTCCAGGAGACAGAACTGGACAGGAGAGAGAGCTCACTGGGCCCTTAAATATGCTGCATCTTAAGATACTGGAAACCACTCCACCCCAACACTGTGAACACTGACTGGACTTGCACACTGGGGGCCTGCCCTGGTGTGGCATCAGGGGCCTGGGTTAATGCATTTTGGAATGTGGTGGCAGAGGGCTACCTAATTACTTTGGGAGTCCCCCAGGTCCCCATGAGTGCTTCCCTCTTGAGATCCAGCTGATCTGTACTGGGGGCATTTGGTACTCAGAAATAGAGATATGATTGAAGATGGGAAGCTGCTGTGGTGCTGAAGGGGGCTGGGGTGTAAACACCCCAGCTTCAAAGACAGGCAAGTCAGATCCTCCCAGGCTGTTGCCACTGGTGGCATATTCTCTGGGATCAGATCCCAGGGAGTGTGTGTATCGGCTGAGTCAGACCCCAGATGCTTCCAGCAGTGGCCCTTCAGCAAGAAGGGCAGCAGGTTGGGGTGGGTACTTTCCAGGCCACAGGAGTCCCATGGGCTGCAGAGAAAGCAAAGGGTGAAAGTAGAAAGTCAGGTGGGGATGGGAAGCTGGAGGGTGAAAAGGAACAGGATGACAGGGAAGGGCCAGTCAGAGCTGGTGGTGGTGGTGGCGGTGGCGGCGGTGGTGGTGAGGTGCAGTGGCCTGAGGGCAGGCCCAGGAAGCTGATGCTCTGGTGTAGCACATGTGAAGGGTGACTGGGGACAGCCAGGTCCTCACTGGGGTTGTAGATAAAGTGACAGCGTGAGCCATAGGGGCATTGGCCCTGGAGGTAGAACTTGTGGTAGAGTTCAGTCTTGTACTTGGAGTGGCAGCTGGCCTGGCACAGCTCACCCAAGCCATGGGCAAACTGGCACTTCGCTCCATAGCAGCAGTGCCCACTCTCAGAGAAGGTTCAGCAGCACTCAATCTTGTAGCACGTGGAGGTGGTGGGGGTCGTAGTAGGTGAGGTGGGTGAAGGTTACAGTGATGGCCAGGGCAGGGAGCCAGGGGCATAAAAACCAGGGGTTGGGGGTGCACAGCCACAGCTTTGGCCTTCCACCAGGCTGGTGGAGTGGCCAAGCAGGTAGGAGGTGACCCCAGAAGGGCCAGAGTCAGGTAAGTTCAGGCTCCAGATTCCTGAAGATTGTTATTCTGTGATCAGATGACAAGTCAAGGCTCAGCCTACTTTACTTTTTTTTTTTTTTTTTTTTAATCGGTACCAGGGATTGAACTCATAACTGCGCGCTTGCAAGGCAGGCGCTTATGCCACTGAGCTAAATCCCCAGCCCCTACTTTACATTTTTAGTACAGGGTGTGTGTTGCCCAGGCTGGTCTTGAGCTCCTAGGCTTAAGTGATCCTCTGGCCTCAGCCTTCTTAAAAACTGGGACAATAGGCATGTAACGTTGCACTTGACCATCTACCTTTTATGCTTGCCCTTGCTCTGACTTTTATTTCTTTATATATAATTAACTTAGTTGGTTTAAAATACATCCATTAGTTGCTTAATTGGAGGCAGAGATAGGGAATTCTGTATTTTTCCTAAGAGTGATTCATTAGTTAGGGGTAGAGATAGGGAATTCTGTATTTTTTCCTAAGGGTGACTCATTATTGCCTAATTCAGTGTTTGTTGTGACCTTACAGGATATAACTAATGCAAATAATGAGGATGGATATTTATTTATGGATATATGGAAAAAGAAAGCAACCAAACATAAGAAAAACTTCCCTGTGTAACCCTTTCCTCTCTGGTTTCCTGATCTGGTTTCAGATTCATTCCAGGACCACACATTGTATTTTGTCTTCTTAGTTTATTAGTCAGCTTTCTGTTACTGTGAAAAAATACCTGAGAAAATCAACTTAAAGAGTGAAAGATTTATTTTTGATGATGGCTTCAGAGGTTTCATATTATGGTCCATTGGCTTCCTTATTTTGGGGTCTAGGCAGAATATCACAGTGGAGAATAGGAAGTGGAGCTAAGCTGTGTATGTCATGGCATCCAGAAGCAAAAAAAGGAAGGAGTCAGAGCCCAGAGTGCCCTTCAAGGGCACACTCTCAGTTACCTAACTTCCTCCATGTCCCACCTCCTGGAGTTTCTACCTTCTCAATAGTGTTATAAGCCAAGAACCAAGTCCTTAACACTTGAGATCTTTTGGGGAACATTTAAGACCTAAACCATAACAATCTGTAATTTGAAATTCTTAGTGTTTTCTTATCTTTCAGGACTTAAACAAGACCATTTAATGTTTGGGGAATTTTTCTGAGGTTGAGTTTCTTCATTATTATTCATTATTCAGGTTATGCATTTTTAGCCAGGAATAACCATGGAAGTAATGCTGTGTCCTCAGTTTACCATATCATGAAACACATCATGTTAATTGATTTCATTACTGGTGATGTTAACTTTTATCACTTAGGTGGTGTCTGCTATTTCTCCATTATAAATTAATAAATATTTTTGTGGAGATATATTTCTTGGGACCATGTTAATATCGTGTTCCTTATCAAACTAGCTTGAACTTATTTTGCATTGATGATTTTTGTCTGAATCAGTTACTACTTTGATGGTTCCTAAACAATGATATTTTTATTTTTTCTCAGCTTGTTAGCATTCTGCAGTAAAGTAGAGCTTTATATTCTCTACGTAATTATTTTTTCATTTATTATATTAGTATGGATTTATGGCTTTTTTTTTTTTTTTGATATTGGGGGTCAAACTCATGACCTTGCACTTGCCAGGCAGGTGCTTATGCCACTGAGTCAAACCCCTAGCCCCCATGGATTTGTATTTTATCATTGGGTTTTTTTTTTTTTTTTTTTGGTCTTTTTCCTTTTTATTGGTATCAGGGATCAAACTCATGACCGCACACTTGCAAGCTTGCAAGGCAGGCACTTATGCCGCTGAGCTAAATCCCCAGCCCATTATCATTGGGTTTTAATGTGTTACTATCCAAGTCATTTCAGATTTGGCCAGTGAGAGTTCTTTTAGGATAATTACTGTGTCCTTTTGCATGCCCCCATTATTCTTTGAACACTTCCTTTTCTTTTTCTTTTTTTCTTCTTCTTCTTTTTTTTTTTTGTACCAGGGATTCATGACCTCATGCTTGCCAGGCAGGCACTTATACCACTAAGCTAAACCCCTGCCTCCCCCTCTTTTTTTTGATGCAATATTACAGGCTTATTCCCCTGCCTTCCCCATGCCAGGCTTATATTTCCTTTGTCCCACAGATAGCTGGAATTCAGCTGTTTCTCCAAGGAGCTTCAAATCCTTTTTAGTAGGGAATGGTATTTTATTTATTTAGTTAGTTTTTGAGACAGGATTTCCCAATGCAGTTTAGGCTACTCTGGAACTCAACTGCAGTCCTCCTGCCTTAGCACTGCCTCCAGAGTGCTGAAACTATTGGTATCTGCCACCATGCCTGGCTCTGGGGATGTTATAAATTTCAGATATTCATTAGGTTTTGTACACATACCTGAAACAGAAAGGTCACATTCCAAAGAGTGAGTTACATGTACAACGTGCATTTTATTTTCCATTCCATAGGTATTATTGATGTTTTGGGGGTACGGGGGGACTGGGGATCCAACTCAGGACCTTGTGCTTGTCAGGCAGGTGCTTATGCCACTGAGTTAAATCTCCAACCCCTTCTGGGGATATTATTTTAGAAACAATACTTATTCTCTAGGTGCACTTTTTGTTAATAGGATGTCCTTGCTTCTGGGTATTTCCTGTGGGCAAGACTCTGGCATATTTTTTTTTAAATTTGTAAGTTCATACTAATAATTCTTCTAATCCAATATCATGGGTGTACCTCTGCTTTTGGGTTTCATAGGAAGATAATTTCTCAGTGTTTCTGAGATGGAGTTAAAAGTCAGAAATTCAATGTTTAGTAAAAGCTCCTGATTTCATATTGATATCAAAGTCATATTATTGAAAATCTTTCTTAATTTTTTATATAAAGGAACTTGTTTCCAATGGTTTCTTTAAAATTACATATTAAGAAAAAAAGATTGTGTTAGGCCTAATGACTCTAGCATACCCTACTGCTGTAAATCCTAGGGTGAGACCTACCTCCAGTGACGGGGCAGACATTTCTGTTACAAATTGGAATGTTTATTGCTCTTGAGCGTAGTCATTTTCTATTTCAGTAAGCTTATCTGTTTAATTTTGCTTGCATGTTAAAAGATATTTTCATCACATATAGAGATAATCTTTTTTTCCTCTCCTTTTCTCTCTTCAAATTTGAGGTCTTTCAGGGATGATGAGATGAAAAAATATTATTCTCCGAAGGCACTACCCACAAAAAAGTCTTCTGCCTTCTCTGGGAGAGTTCCCAGAACCAATCACCCAGTGAAATATGGTGCCTCATATTCTGGGACCCGACGAGACCGATTAAGAGAATTGTGCATCAGGTGAGCTTCTTAGCTAAAATGAGGGCATAGTAGTTACTTTCCTATGTCAGTTAATTGAAGAAATTGATGCTTGCTCTTTATGTCAGAGTATTCAGATGAAAAGAATATTTGGGAATTTGCAGACATAAAAATTTATCACTGAGTGTTTCATTTGTGTTCTCCAGTTCCCCACATAGTTTAAGATGTAAAGATTCTTCCAGAAAAAGTCTTAACATCCAAGAAAAATGATCATCCATATATTCATTTAACAAAAATTTATCAGGTACCTACTGTGCCAGCTGTTATGCTATGTCCTTAGCATATAAGGTGTATCAGACAGTCTTGGTCCATGACCTCATGAAAATTTAAAATCAGGCCAAGGCTATTAAACCACAACAGTAAAGTATGATAAGTGCTGTGAGCAGAAGGATGTGGTCCATAGGCACATATGAGATAAGAATAGCAGCCCTCATGTGCCCAGCAGTGACTTTCTGGAAAAATGACACTTAAGCTGACTTGTAAGGGATATTTAAAAACAAAAAACAAAAAACCTCTAAAGGATAACATAAGAATAAACCAGGTAAAGGACAAGAGGAAGATTATTCCCATCTGAGTCCAGAGATTGATTCAACAGATCACTTGTGTGTGTGTGTGTGTGTGCATGCATCTGTGTGTATACTAGGCACTGTAGTAAGTACTGGTGATACAATTTTTTTTTCGTCTTTGAGACAGGGTCTCACTGTGCAGTTCAGGCTGGCCTTGAGCTTACATTGTAGCCCATGCTGGTCTTGAACATGGACCAATCCTCCTCCTGCCTCAGCCTCCTGAGTGCTGGAATTACTGGGCATCACCACACCCAGCTGGGGAGACTATTAGATATGGTCCCTGCACTGAGTGGTTCACATCATAGCTGGAAAGGCAGATACCCTGTGGGCCAATGACTGTGAATTGGTGTTAACGTTGCATAAGGAGTGTGAACAGTGTCATAATATTACCTCAAGGGTGTGAACAGTGTCCTAATGTTGAGGTATGTGAACAGAGTGCTGAGATTACATACCTCCTCTGTTTGAATTGGGAGAAGTCTGGGATAAGTGCACATTTGTCAGCAATTTTAAGCAGGAAGGTTAACATGAACAAATATTTATCATGTACTTTTTCTGAAATCTGAAATCTTTTTTTCACTGAAAAAATACTGAAAATGTTTTTGAAAAGTAATCTACTTGGGGCTGGGGATTTAGCTCAGCGGCATAAGCACCTGCCTTGCAAGCAGGCGGTCGTGAGTTCGATCCCTGGTACCGATGAAAAAGACAAAAAAAAAAAGTAATCTACTTGAAGCTGAGCATGGCAGTGCATACCTGTAATCCAAGCACTCAGGAGGTTGAAGTAGGACTGTCAGTTTAAGGCCAACCTGGGTTACATAGCAAGTTTAAGGCCACAGCAGCTGAAACTACAAAGTGAAACCTTGTCTCAAACAGCAACAGAATAATCTTATCTAATTTTAACTTTTTAAATCTGCCCCCTTCGCTCCTTTATTTGGTGGAAGATTAGCTATATCACCTTTTGACTCACTTTAGTGTTCCTTCTGGGACTTTAAAAGGTTCTCTCTTTCTAGAAAAGTAGTGTAAGCCAAGTGGATTTTAAGATACATAACAACCTTTCTTTCCTTCTTTCAGATGTGTGGCCAGAAAATTTTTGTATTTATGGATGCGAATGACTTTTGGAAGAATATTTCCTTCTAAAGCCAGGTAGTATCAGCTAAGAATACCAATTTTTTTTTTTTTTAGCTCATTCTGGGTTTTTATTTTATATTAAGCATCTGCATAACCTTTATTATGGCATGTGTTACATTCCTCCCTTTGTCTTTCCAGCCTCCATCAGGTAAGAATGGTACTTAATATAACCATATAATACAGTGGTAATTTCATGACCATTAGTTGACTGGATGAGTGGATGAAGGAATCATCTGTAAGTAAACCAAGATGGTTAAGGCCTCTCTGAGAAAAAAAGATTCCTCAGGAGTAAGTGAGCTCATTCAAGATGTGGGTGAGACAGATTGACTTGATCTAGGCAGAATGTATGGAAAAAAGTGGCATTGGCAAAAAGAGTGAAGTTTCTTATGACACTGTTCACACTCCTTATGTAACGCTGACACCAGTTCACAGTCATTGGCCCACAGGGTATCTGCCATTCCAGCTATGATGTTAACCACTCAGTGCAGGGACCATGTCTAAGGAGCATATCTGTTTGCCATATTCTATACTTTATGCATTGATGTTTCTCTTCACACTAGTGTAGACCACCACCACCCACTGCTGCACTTTTTGGTTATAATTGCTTTGAGGTACATTGCAGAGCAGAGAGTCACAGGAGTAAGGAGCACTGAGCAGGAGGCAGTGGGGCCCATGTAGGGTATGTCTTAGAGGGAGAATTGGCAGCTGTTGAGAAACTGAAATGTGATGGGAAGTTCCTTTCTCTTCACTGTCTCCTCTTCTATACTTTTCCTTTTTTGTCATTCTCTTTATTTTATTATATTTTATTTCAAAGAGATTAAGACAAAACAGGACATAACAGAGCAGATCACAATAGAACAGTGTAAGCAATACAGTGTTTCACCAGAAGACAACCCATAATTAACATTAACTACCACAATGTCTCTTTCTTTGAAATAGCTGAGTATAACTTCATATACAGTAGTATCAAACATAACAAAATAGTATAAAGACATTCAAGAGAATGAGAGTAATACAGGGCTTTCAGAACTAAATAACAGAAAACAAACAATGGCTACTATATTATCTCATTTTCCATAGGAAATTTGTTTATACTTTCACACGTAATACAATCCAACAAGGTACAACGTGATAGAGCCAATGGAAACAGAAGAGCAAGAGCATGGTAGGACTTCAGATTAAGATGATATTATATCAGTACTGGCTATTATAATGACTTGTTTCCCTCAAATTAGCTGTTCATACCATCACAGATAATAAAATCAAAAAACCAGGACAAACACATTACAACTGTGATCATTATAAGGCTTCAAAACAATATAATGGGGAATCATGATTACTCTAAACTCTTATATACTCTTACTATTTCTTACACTAGGGAGTCTATATGATATTTATATATGTGAGTTTGATTTATTTCGCTTACGAGTATGGTCTCAAGTTGCGCCCATTTATTAGTAAATATCTCAATGTGATCATTCTTTATAGCTGAGTAGTACTCCATTGTATAAAAATACTACATCTTTTTTATCCATTCCTCAGTTGATGGACACTTAGGTTGTTTCCAAGATCTGGCTAATAGAAATTGTGCTGCTATAAACATGGGCGCACATATATCACTGTGGTATGATGTTTTCAGTTCTTCTGGGATTATGCCTAGATGTGAAATAGCTGGGTCGAATGGAACTTCGAATCCCAGATTTTGGAGGAATCTCCAAACTGACCTCCATAGTGGTTGTACCAGTCTGCACTCCCACCAACAGTGCAGGAGAGTTCCTTTTTTCCCACATCCTCTCCAGCATTTGTTGTTGGTAGTTTTCTTGATCCTGGCCATTCTTTCTGGAGTGAGATGGAATTTTAGTGTTGTTTTAATTTGCATTTCTCTAATGACTAACGATGATGAACATGTATTTATTTGCCATTTGTATTTCTTCTTCATTTCATGTATTTATTTGCCATTTGTATTTCTTCTTCTGAGAACTATGTATTCATCTCAGATGCCTATTTTTGGATTGGGTCCTTGAGTTTCAGGGATCTGATTTTTTAAAATTCTTTGTTTTAGACTAAAGTCCTTTGTCTGAGGGATAGTTCACTAAGATTTTTTTCCCAGTTTGTGGGCTATCTTTTCACTATGCTGGAGATTTCTTTTGACATGCAGAAACTTTTGGGTTTTTTTTGTCTTTTTCCTTTTTATCGGTACCGGGGATCGAACTCACGACTGCCTGCTTGCAAGGCAGGTGCTTATGCCGCTGAGCTAAATCCCCAGCCCCTGACATGCAGAAACTTTTTAATAAGATGTGGTCCCAGTTACTGATTTCGGGAAGTAGTTTCCGTGTGGTTTGATTCCTATTCATGAATTCTCTACTTACCCCTATGTCTTCAAGATGTTTACCTACTTTGTCTTCCAACAAATTGAGTGTTTCTGTTTTAATATTCGGATCTTTGATCCATTTAGATTTTAGTTTAGTATATTGTGATAGGCATGGGTCTGGTTTTAGTTTTTGGCATATGGAGAGCCAGATTTTCCAGCACCAAGTAATTTTCATTGGTCTCTTATTTTATGAAAAAAAATTTTTGTGTGATTCTAGGTATTGAATCCCCTGCCTCACCCTTGATAGTCAGGAACTCTACTGGTGATCTGTATTCTAGTCCCCAAAAATCTTTACTTTGTATGCTTTTTGAGGTATCATGCTGTTCCTTTATTCCCTAACCCCCCCCCCCCGCCCCCAGTACTGGGTATTGAACCCAGATCTTTTACACTGAGCTGTATCCCCAGATCGTTTTTATTTTTCAAGACTGGGTTTCACTAAGTTGCTTGACAGTCTTCAATTTTCCTGTAAGAAGATTTGAATAAATTTTTAGCTGATTTGGGAAGTATATGAAATAGTCATATCTAATCATAATATTTAATTCATAAATATTTCTTCTTCATTCTTAGCTACTGGTCTTGCTTCTTGTTTTCTTGAGAAAAGAAAAGCATCAGAAGAGACTCTGGAGCTCCCTATGTTACGTAAACCCATACCTAACATATATAGCCACAACCAGCATATAGCCATTCCCTGTATAGCAATAGGGAAACCACTGTCTATGCTTTCATCTGCAGAGAAATCTTAGATTTGTGCATGATAGTCCTCTCCTACTTAGCAGGGCTATCACTCTTACCAGTATTTATTCCGTTTTCCATATGGTCAGTGTTTTCTACTTTAGCTAACTGTATTGGTTTATGTGTATAATTGCAGCCCTCCAATGGCTGAGGCAGGAGGATTACCACAAGTTTGAGGCCAACCTGAACTATATAGCAAGGCCCTGTCTCAAAAAACAAACAAAATTTCCTTTTTTACTGAATCATTTCCATTAACCTATAACTTTTATTTGGCCTATCCTGAAAAAAACAAACAAAACACCTCTCTGACCATTCTTTCTATTATGGTTAACACTTCCATCTCTCGTTTTCACTTTTAGAAATGTTAGAGGGGAATGAAATTATTCCAAGGACAACTTATTGATGCTTTTATGTACTTGGAGAATGTTTTGTTTTGGTTTTTTTGGCACCAAGGATCGAACTCACTACCTTGTGTTTGCTGAGGAGGCGCTTACACTGATGAGCTAAACCCCCAGTCCAAGAATATTAATTTTTATAAGCCAACATCTTTTTTGTTTGTTTTTGTATGTAGTCTTCTTAAATCTGTCCCCAGAGGATTTGGGATGCCACCCACTGGTCTATTTTGTTAAGGTCACTAAATTTGCTAAAGCCAATGATGAATTAGTAAACTTCTTTTTACTTAACCTACCAAATACCATTTAGATAGTCTTATGTGTTTCTCAGTTTTCTGTCACTGTAATAAGATACCTGAGATAAACAGTTTATAAGGAGCAATTGTTTTGGCTCATAGTTTCAGTCCATAATCAGTTGGTGCCATTGCTCTTGGGAACATGTAATAGAGGAGACAGCTCACCTTATGGCAGCCTCATAGGATTAGGGTTAGGGGAGAGAGGAATGGGCCAGAGTTCCAGTAACCCCTTCTAAGGCATGCCTTCAGTGACCTAAGGTTGTTCTGCTGCTTCCCAATAGCACTATGTGCTGGCTACCCAGACTGCAGTACTCCATCTTTTCAGACTGTTATCTAAACCAAAGCAGCATCATTCCTATCCTCAGTAAGTTCTTTCTTTTAGACACAATAAGTGCCTGTAATTGCAGTCACTTGGAAGACTGATGCAAGAGGATCACAAGTTTGAGGCCAGCCTGAGCAACTGAGTGAGAACTATCTCAAAATGAAAATAAAGTATATCTAGCCCTGATTTGAATTCAGTTCAGTTTCTTTAATACCAAGGAAAAAATTCTTCTCATTTCTGTCATCTCAGTTTTTATTTTGCTTACTTGTCTGCTTTTTTCAACCTAATCTTGTTGCTTCCTCACTGTTGAAATATCCCAACACCCAGTTCCTTTTGTATCTCTCACAATCATAGCAATGTCATCAAATCCCAAGGTGAATCCCAAAATATGCACCAAGCCCAGACCTCTGTCTTGAGCGTAATCAAAACTGAAATCTTGGTTTTCTGCACATATCTTTCCACCTCATTTAGTAGTAACTAAGTCTCTTACTTGTAGGTTGCTCAAATCAAAGTCTTGGAAGTCATCCTTGATGCTTCTTGTTTTCTCCTGACTTAATTTAAAATACCAAATACTAAACTATTGCCGCAACCTTCAGAATATATTCACAATCCAACCTGTCTTTGTTACTTCCTCTTGCTGCTTCCTGGTCTAAGTGATGACATTCTCTCCCAAGTGACTCAGTAACCTGTTCAGCAATCTCCTGCTTCCAGCCTTGTCTCTCTTCAGACTGTTGTCAGTAGATTATCTGATAAATCACAACATTCTATTCAAACTTCCAATGGCTCCCTATTAAAAAAGCCACATTCCTTGCTACACACTGTAAGGTCAGTGGGCTCTTTTGCTTTTTGTCTGTCTGTCTGTCTGTCCGTTTGTTCTTTCTTTCTTTTTGAGACAGGGTCTCGCTACATAGGCTGGCCTTGAATTTGCTTATGTAGCTTAGGCTGGCGTCAAGCTCATGGCACTCTTGGCAGTCCTCTTGCCTCAGCCTTTTGAGTGCTGGAATTACAAATATGTGTCACCATGTCCATTTTTCTTTATGCTTTTACTCACGTTCTCATTTTAGAGCCTTCCCTTACATGTCAAGAGATTCTTTGTTGTCTCTTCACACTTAAGAGGCAATAGTAAGCTAATTTTCAGAGGTTTGATTTATATGCACAGGAACTAAAAAACAAGGGCTTTACTGTAGGTTTTTTGGGCAGATATCAGGGGCTTTCACTTGGGAACCTCCAGGTGTTTGCATCTCTGAAAGCCTTTTCCTTTGGTTGATCATTTGCTCTAGAGTTTGAAGAATGGGTATGGGGTGAGTTTGAGGTAAGCAGGGAAAGGAAACAGTCTCCTCATTAAGTGTGCCAGCACTTAGTTTAGGGCTGACTCCAAAACTTTGCCTCATAGTCTAGAGTCCAGTGTTCCTGTGTAGTTGTTCAGCCTTCCCAGAGAGAAGTCAGTGTCTGCTTGGGTGAATGATGAAGTCAGGGTCCTCACCACTTGTGACAATCCTGGGTCTTCATTACCCAGGATTCCCCTGTTCCTAATGTCTCACATCCTACCATGTTCAGGGGTTTGTCCACCACATGGTGGTTTTTTTTTTACTTTCCCCACAGGACACTTAGTTCTCTACCTTCTCTAATCTTAGTTGCCACTCACTTCCTGCTTTTCCTCATCTAAACATTGTGACATCTCTTGTCTGTTGTCCTCTTATTCTCTTTATTGGGTGTACGTCTTTTTAAATAGACTATGTGTTATTTTAGTGGAATTTTGAGAGTGGAAAGTGGCAGGTGGATTTATTCATGTTACCATGTGCACATGATTCTTTTCTATTAAAATTTTTAAAATTAGAAATGAATCTTGTTAAAATCTTTGAAACATTACAGGAATGTACAATTTAGTGACACTGGTCTTCTATAATCTCTGCCTGAGAGAAAACAACTGATAATAGTTTGGTATTCTAGAGCTCCTTCTAGGCTGGCCTTGAACTCATTATAGTCCAGGTTGGTCTCAAACTCGTAGTGATCTTCCGGCCTTAGCCTCCCGAGCGCTGAGATTTTAGGTATGTGTCACCACGCCCAACTCAGGCTTTTGGTATATATTTACATATGTGCATCCACATGACCATGTATATGTATATGTGCATAACAAATATGCATGTATGTGTATATATGCTAATAAATGGAGCTATAACAATACATAAACATTAGTTAAAGTGTATAATTATATACTATACAGTGATTTTATTTTTTTACCGAACAGCTTTTTGGGGCATCTGTCCATTTCAGTAACCTATAAAAACTGACTGCATGGCATTAATTGAATACTTTTAATTTACAACCTTTGATGGGGATTTGAGATGGTTTGCCCTTTTTTTTTTTTTTTTTTAATTATGAACAACAGTGAGTTGAGTTGCCTTATTGAATGACTATGCAACTTGTTTTTAAACTAAGTGGATGTAATGTGCAGAACCAGGAAAAGAAATTGACTGGAACAGTATTACTTTTTTTTTTTTTTTTTTTTTTGAGACAAGGTCTCGTTTTGTAGTTCAGACTGAACTTGAACTTGACAGGATTGGTATTTGGGGTGGGTGATGGGGAGTGAGGGCCTCCTATGTAGTTCATACTGGCATTGAGCTTCTTATGTAGTCCAGGCTGGCATTAATCTCACAGTGATGTTCCTGCCTCAGCTTCCCAAATGCTGGGTTTTTAGGTGTGTACCATCATGCATAGCTTAGTATTTTTTTTTTTTGTCTTTTTCTTTTTTATTGGTACCAGGGATCAAACTCACGACCACACACTTGGAAGGCAGGTACTTATGTCACCGAGCTAAATCCCTAGCCCCCAAAGCTCAGTATTCTTGATTTAGCAGTCACTTTGGCAATACTTTCTCAGCATCAACACTGGTACTGTTCTTCTATTTTCTTTCTTAAAATTTTTTTCCCCTTTGTTTTCTCTTACCTGTGTTTTGCTGTTATAATTTCCCTGATGGGATTTTAGTTAAAATAATATTTGTGATCTTGGCATTTATTTATCTTGTAATTTTAATTTTGTATTACGTAAGTGAAAAATGACTACCACTTTTTATTTTATTTTTATTTTTTTGGTCCTTGGAATAGAACTCAAGACTTTGCGCTTGCCAGGTAAGCGCTGTGCTACTGAGCTATATTGTCACCCCACTACCACTTTTTAATCATAAAAATATTTTTTTAGTTTGATGAATTAAAATGGAGGCCAGAGGTTTAGCTCAGTTGCATAAGTGCTTCCCTGGCAAGTACAAGGTCATGAATTTGATCCTCAATACCAAAAAAAAAAAAAAAAAAAAGTTGAAAATAACAGTTCTTAATTCAATTTTGGTACTCAGAAAGTAAGGTATCACTTTTAATTGGTAAAATCTATAGCATAAGCCAGGCGTGGTGGCACATATATGCATATAATCCCAGGAGGCTGAGGTAGGAGGATTGCTGTGAGTTCAAGCCCATCCTTGTCTACAAAGTGAGTTCAACAGAAAGAATTGCTGCCTCAAGAAATCAACTGATGGGGGCTGGGGATTTAGCTTAGCGGCTTAAGTGCCTGCCTTGCAAGCAGGCAGTTGTGAGTTCGATCCCTGGTACCGATAAAAAGGAAAAAGACAAAAAAAAAAAAAAAAAAAAGAGAAATCAACTGATAACAAATGTTGGCGCGGCTGTAGGGGAAAAAGCAACACCTCTTCATTGTTGGTGGGAATGTAAACTGGTGCAATATGGAAATCAGTGTGGAGATTCTTTAGAAAACTAGGATTGGAAGTCCCATTCAATCCAGCTATTCCCCTTCTGGGTATTTTCCCAGAAAAATCGAAAACATCATTCTAGAGCAATATATGTGCACCCATGTTTATAGCAGCACAATTTTTTTTTTTTTTTTTTTTGTCTTTTTCATTTTTATCAGTACCGGGGATTGAACTCATGACCGCCTGCTTGCAAGGCAGGTGCTAATCCGCTAAGCTAAATCCCCAGCCCCAACAGCTCAATTTGTAATAGCTAAATTTTTGAAACAACCCAAACAAACTCATATTTGTAAATGATATGAGTTTGATTTATTTCACTTATGAATGTATTTGTAAATGATGAGTTTGATTTCACTCATGAGTGAGTATACTCATAAGTGAAATAAATCAAACTCGTTTGTAAAATACCACATCTTTCTAATCTATTCCATGATTCATGAGCATTTGAGTTGTTTCTAAAATTTAGCTATTATAAATTGTGCTGCTATGAACATGTCTCCCCAGTATAAAAAAACAAAAACATAAAGAGCAATAAAATCCAAAAGGTACAGTAGATATTGTGACATTGGAAGGGAAAGAATGTATTCAAAAGGAAAGAATGACTGGGATAGAGGAAAGGAGAAAAGGAAAACGGGAAAAGATTATATGTATATAGGTACATATATATATATATGTATGTGTGTATATATATACACACGTATACAACATAGATAACTGTACTGTTAATCTCTTCATCCAAAAGAACAGCTTGTGCTGTCATTGTTTGATCTTTTTTGTGCCTATATCTTGTAACCTGAACAACTACTTCTAAGATAATAATATGCAGTTGTTAACTAGTGTTAATTTCCTACTATTGTTTTGAAATTCTGTGTTCTTTCTGTCCTTTTTTCTGTTTTGCCTTTTAAAAATGAAAAATAAATAAATAAAAGACAGTTCAAGGCCAGCCTTGGTTACAGAAATACCCAAAAAAACAAAAACTGTAGCATAAATTTTTTCAACCTCATTTCTAATTTAAGTAGTTCTAAATTTTTTGTTTGTTTGTTTTATGGTACTGGTGATTGAACCCTTGCTTTTAAAATTGTAAGGTTAAGTCACCAAAGTTTTCCCTTACAGAGCTTGAATTTGGTATTCTCCTTCCTCACCTTCCTCAAATGTTGGGTTATAGACTTATGCCACCATCTCTGGCTTAGTTTCAAGTTTTTGATCAGAAATAGTTAAATATGTCTTTTTAATATATTTTGGAATTTTATTTTCATTGACAAGACAATGTGAAACTGATTTGGAAATGGATATCAACTCGAACCTCATATTTAGTTATGTTTTATTCCTTTTCTTCAGATTTTACTATCAGCAAAGAATACTACGGAAGGCTTTAGAAGGATGGAAAGAAGAATGGTGGGTTTCTCACCGAGAGTGGAAACTCTGTGTTCGAGCTGACTGTCATTACAGGTCAGATTTTGTCACATTAGTTTTGCACATTTTCAGATATACATTTTGCACATTCTCACGTTGCTTTTTTGTGGAGGTTTTTTTTTTTTTTGTTGTAGTTGTTTTGAACAGGCCTTGAACTCACTATGTAATCTAGGTTGCTTGAGGCTCTCAAGTGGTAGAATTACTGGTGTGCACCACCATGCACAGTTTACATTACTTTGTGATGTTTTTTTAATCAGAAGAAGCAGTGTTTTTTGAATCACTTCCTATTTTTTTCTCAAATCCTTTTTAGAGTAAGAAAATTCAAAGTTGTAATTAAATCCAAGCATACATGCACACCCCTTTCATTCAGGTAACTGTTATGTGCTGATCATGCTAATGATTTCAATGAGATTTTTCTTACTGACTTTCACTTCTATATAATTTCTAATTCTGAGAATGTGCTTTTTTTTTCTGAGATAGGGTTTTGCTTCTTATTATATATAGTTCTGGCTGGTCTTGGAACTCATTGTGTAGTGGATGCTGGTCTTAAACTAGAGATGATCCTGCTACTTCTGCCTCCTGAGTGCTGGATTATAGGCATGCACCACCACACCTGACTGAACATATACTATTTTTAAAAGAATCAGTTCTAATTTATATTGATTTGTGGGAGAAAAATATATGCCCAATTTAGAACATTAAAAAAAATAGAGGTTGGAAGTTTAGCTGAGTGGTAGAGTGAGTGCGTAAGGTTTGTGTTAAATTGAAAGAAAAAACAAATGAACTTTGATGTTCATATGCCTAGGAATAGAAGATGTGTAAAAAAATTGCCACTTACCTGGGCATAGTGGCACGTACCTTAATCCCACCACTTGACTGAAGCAGAGGATTACTGAGAATTCAAGACTAGCCTGAGCTCCATAGTGAGTTCAAGGCCTGCCTGAACTATTCCCTACGTCAATAAACATAACAAAAGAAAACAAAAAAATTGGGAGTTATATCAAATATATATGCTTTAGATTCTTTTCTTTTTGGTACTAGAAATTGAGTTCCAGGGTCTTTGTACTGAACTATATCCCCAGCTACTTTAAAAATGTTTTATTTTGAGATAGGGTCTTGCTACATCACTTAATTGCCCATAGTCCTACTGTGTCAGCTTCCCTGAGTGTTGACATTACAGGATAGATCTTCTTTTAAGAAATAAAATGTAGGGCCAGGGATTTAGCTCAGCGGCATAAGCACCTGCCTGGCAAGCATAAGGTCGTGAGTTCAATCCCTGGTACCAAAAAAAAAAAAAAAAAAAAAAGAAAGAAAATGTATGTGTGTTTTGTCTTTGTGATGATATTTATCTTATAGTCACTTTAGGTTCTTTGGGGCAGGAATTCTGACTTAGGATTATTTGAGGTTAAAAACAGGCATATTAAAGTATATGGTATCTGTAGCAAGGAGAAGAAAAAAGAAAAAGTACCACTGAATATCATTCATTGCAAAGGAAAAGTCATGTTTTGTGTAGTGTGCATGACTTAAGTGGTTAAGATAGGAGTCTCCTTCCAACTGCTATCTATGTCTTTGTGGGTGCTGAAAGTAAATGTAGTTTTTGAAAAGTTAGTGACACTTTATGGTATGAAGGATGACTGTACTTCAGAGAGAATAGGTTTCACTGTGATGGTAGGGAAAGAAATTTTAGCTTAGGTGCTGATAGAGTTTTTTACTTCATTTTATTTATTTATTTATTTATTTATTTATTTATTTTTTGATGCCAGGGATCGAACTCATGCCTAGCAGTTGCAAGGCAGGTGCTTTGCAAATCCCTGGCTGAGCTAAATCCCCAGCTGCAATAGGGTTTTTTGTATCAGAAGCTCTGTGATAGTTTCTTGAGAGTAAAGAACAAAGTGGGTATATTGGATCAGTAGTTGCTTTGTTGAGTTGTCTTAAGAAATGTCTCTTGCTTTTTTGGTTCCTCAGATACTACTTGTACAGCCTGGTATTTCAGAGTTGGAAGGCCTATGTGCAGCAGCAGCAGGAGATGAGGAATAAGTATATGAAAGCCAAGGATCATGGTGAGAAAAGAAAGCACACATCTAAATAAAATGCCCAAATAACTTTAACAGAGGCTCTTTCGAAGGACAGATACATTATGTGAGAGAAAGGATAATGCTAGCGCAAAGAGAAGATACGTTTGATTCTTTCATGTTTTCAGAATGTGTGATTTCAGGTGAGGAACTTCTGTGTGCTCAGATCCCTGTGGTCCTCTCCATATGATACGGTTTTGGCATTTAAGGCTCATTTTACCAGAGTTTATGTGAACTGCCCATTCTGCCTTACTGATGCAATGTACTGGTTTCATCTCTCCTACGGCACTTGGGGCTGCTGTTTGCTGCCATGTGCAAGGTTTCAAGGAAACTGGAGCAGAGTCATTGTGCTCATTTCTACTCTGCCTTGGTCAGGTTATCCCTGATAACCCCATGGCCAGTTTTGGTTTGGTCATTATCTGGTTCCTTCATGAGTTGAGTCCAAGTGGCAAGTCCAAGGAAAAAAGGCTGAAGTGTTGCCCCCGCAACAACAATAGTACATACATTGTGCATTGTCATCCCCAAATCATTCACCCAGAGCACAAGACATCTACATTGAATTGTCCAAACAATACCAGCACAAATTTTTCTCTTCAGTGAACTCAGAAATCAGTGGTATAACTGTCTTAACTATATATATGTAGTTTTATATGTATAGTTTCTGTCAGCTTCTCACACTACGTAGACCATACAATGTTTACACATGTGTGTCTGATTTATTTCAATTATGAGTATGGTCTCAAGTTGCATCCATTTACCTGTAAAAGTCTCTAGCTTAGAGTTCCAAAATGATCATGTATCTTGCAGGCAGGCACCCAACACTCCCTTAGTGTCTCCAACTTACCAACTCCTCTAACCATATGCACTTGCTCTTTCTCTGACTATTCCTAAGTGAGAAGGCTTGTCTGTTTCTCATGCTATAAATCATGGGCTTTCTAATTTTTATAAGACAGCCCTCTGAGTAATCACTTATAATCTTTTCTTTGCCACTACGTCAGAGTAATCTTCATCTTTTTCCTCAGAGTGTTACATGTGCCTCTTCAGTCATCTCCCTGCAATTACTCATATTTTATCCTCTTCTCATTGTACATGTAGGTACAAGAGTGCTAAAAGTTTATTTGGTTTCTCTTATTGAATAAAATGAAGACTCTATCACATGGCAGACAGAGTTCATCTATTATCCTGCCCTATACCCTATCCTCAGCCACAATGGATGTGTACTTCTTTGACTTTCTATATTTGCCTCTGCTGTTTCTTCTTCATCTCATTTTATTTTTATTTTTTAATTTTTAAAAATTTTATTTATTTTTTCTTTTTGTTTGAGACAGAGTTCTGCTGTGTATTCCGGGCTGGCCTTGAACTCACTATGTAGCACATACTGGCATCACACTTATGGTCCTCATGCCTCAGCTTCCCAGTGCTGGGATTACAGGCATGTAGCATCATACCTGGGTCTTTTTTAAAAAAATTTCATTAGTACAGTTTTTCAGTCCATAATGATTACATTTTTTGTTGCATATGCCCATTTTAGAAAACATTGAAAGATTTATGTGACTTGAAGAGAAACCAAAATAGTCAAGCCTATTTTAAATGTTAGCTTCCAAGGCCAGGGATTTAGCTCAGTGGCATAAGCACCTGCCTGGCAAGCATGAGATTGTGAGCATGAGGTTGAGTTCGATCCCCGGCACCAAGAAAAAAACTAAAAAATAAATATCAGCTTCTTAGTTGAGCTTTTCCTGATTTCTCCCTGTGCAGTGGGTGCTTTGATCTGTTGGTGTTCCCAGAGTAAAAAACTCTTACCCAGGCCTCTTAGTTACAACACCAGACATACTGTTGCAATATTTAACTGGTGAATAACTATGCTGTATTTTATTTTTACTTTTTTGTCTTTTAGAGACAAAGCCTCGCTATGCAATTCAGGCTGTCCTTGAACTCATAAGGATCCTCCTGCCTCAGCTTCCTAAGTGCTGGGATTATAAATATGTACCATCATGCCCGGCATTATTTTTGTTTTCCTTTTTGTTTTTTAATTTATTTTTTATTTTAAAGATAGTAAAAACCAACAAAACAAGACAAAACAAAGCCAGTCAAAACAATGCAGCAGAATTGGTATAGAACTTCAAAGCAGGATACCAGGAAAACAATAATAGGTACCACAGTATATCTTGTTAGCTTCATAATAGTTGTCTGTTCTGCCAGTTATAGCACAATCAAACCAGAAACAAAACACAATAAAACCAATCAAAACAGAATATTGAATAGAGCAAAACAATCAGAACAAAGCAAAACAAAATAATTATTTGACTTCGAAGACAAGGTAGAAAAGAATCGCCCATATTTGCTATATTACATACTACCATCCTTCCAAGAGATGCTCAGACTGCTGGTCCCAGGCCTGCAAAATCAACCAAACAATACAAACGTTAAGTTACTTTACGTACCTTAGTTACTATCAACTCAGGCTGACCTTGGAACCATTTGGTTGCTTCCGCGGGCAGGTGGGGGGTGGATATGGAAGGTGTTTGATTTTTAGTTTGTGTGCCATGCCAGGAGGCTCATGAGAGGAGTCTCTGACTTCTCTCCCTGGAGGGCAGGCAGCTTGCGCAGCTTACCAGCAAGACTAGCTAGTTGATTTCTTGGTTGGTCCCCCACTGGCATTATTTTTAAAACTTACATAAAGTAAAATGTATTCCTTTTGAATATCATTTTATGAATTTGAACAAATGCATAGAATCATGTAACTCCTATCAAGAGTTAGAACAAAGTTGGATGTGGTCGCACACACCTGTATATTTAGCAGTTGGAAGAGAGGCAAAATTACTTTAAGTCTGAGGCTAACTTCAGCTACATACTGAGTTCAAGCCAAGTGTGGAGTAGCAAACATGTCTCAGGAAAAACAAAAAGCGAAACAAAACAAAAATGAGACAGGCTGGAGATTTAGCTCAGCAGCATAAGCACCTACCTGGCAAGCATGAGGTTGCATGTTCAATCCCCAGTACCAAGAAAAAAAAGAAAGAACAGTTCCACCATATGAAATAAAATTTCATGTTAGCTGTTTGTAGCATCCTCCCTTCACACATGCCCTCTGACGACTGCTGATTAGTTCTTTATTAGCTGTAGTTTTTTTTCTTCTAGAATATCGTAGAAGTGGAATGATACAATAGATAGCCTTTTCATTATTCCTTCTTTCACTTGACATAAATGTACTTTAGATGCTTCCAACTAGTGACACGTGATCATCTTGTTTTGTTTGATATTTGCTTTTTTGAGACAGGGTCTCACTATGTAGCCCAGGCTGGTTTCAAATTTGTGAAGATACTCCTGCCTCAACCTTCCGAGTGGTGACATTGCAGGGATTCAGTGCCATGTTTTATGAATGGTCATGTAAAAATGAAGACTTGTCATGTTCTCTGTAGTAACTCTTTGTGAGTCTGTACATGTTTTGTGATGTTACAGGAATCACACAATGCTTTCTCATGTTACTTACATAGGGTTTCTCTTTAGTTGGAATTCTTTCATGTACTTCAAGATCAGTGGAAGAACTGAAGGTTTTCCCACTATACCCTTTCATGTGATTACTTTCATGTATTTAAATGAATTGAGAAAAATACTGAATTTTTTTTTTTTTTTGATACTGTGGATTGAACTCATGACCTTGCGCTTGCCGGGCAGGCACTTGTGCCACTGGGCTAAATCCCCAGTATAATTGAGAAAAATAAAAAGTTTCCCAAATTGCTGTGCCACTGGGAAAATCCCCAGTATAATTGAGAAAAATAAAGTTTCCCAAATTGCTCACATATCTTCAGACTCTGCTATGAATTTTTTTATGTATATATTGATATCTGTATAGACTGAAAGATATTTATTCTACTTACAAAGAAAGGGCTTCTCCTGTCTGATTGATGTTAATGCAAGTCACTTTGTATTTTCAGTTTATTTCCTCTCACTTTTTAATTTGATGCTTATTGGAAGAAGAGTTTTCCATAATGCTTACACATACAGTGTTTTTCCCAAGTGTATTTTCTTTCATGTACTTGAAAATACCTGTGTATAGTGTGAATGCATCCCCACATTACTTACATATATAGAATTTCTACAGTGTATGTTCTTTCATGTATTTGACAGTGATGGTGATCTTGAAGTCTTTTTTTTTTTTTTTTTTTGGTAAGAAAGATCAAACTCATGACCACCTGCTTGCCAGGCATGTGCTTACGTTGCTGAGCTAAATCCCCGGCCTGATCTTGAAGTCTTTTATACTTTGCTTACATATTTAGGGTTTCTCCTCAATGTGAGTTCATTTATGTGTTTGACAACATCTGTGTGTAGTGAAATCTTCCCCAAATTGCTTACATAAATAGGATTTCTCCACATTGTGTGTTTGTTTGTGTCTTTGACAAGCATTGTACATGCTGAAAGCTGTCCCACATTGCATATATATAGTGTAGGGTTTCTCCCCAGTGGTATATATAGTGTAGGGTTTCTCCCCAGTGGTAGTTCGTGTCTTTGATAATTGTGTGTTCTGACAGCTATTTGACATTGCTTACAGACATAGTTTCTCCCAGTGTGAGTTCTTTCGTGTTTGACACCTAATGTGTCTGCTGGAAGCATATCCACATTGCTTATATACACAGGATTTCAGCGCCAGGAATTTAGCTCAGTGGCAAAAGTGCCTGCTTGGCAAGTCCAAGGTCGTGAGTTCGATCCCTGGTACCAAAAACAAAAAAACAAAACAAAATATTGTTCCCATATACATATAGAATTTCTTCCCAATGTCACTTCTTTCATGTATGAAAGTTTCCCACATAGCTTACACACATATGATTTCTCCCCAGTGTGAGTTCATTCATATGCTTGGCAGTCCATGTATGTGTTGAATGCTTTCCCACATTGTGTACATACATTCTGGCCAATGTGAGTCCTTTCATACACAGTACTTGTAGGATTTCTCTCCATGTTTCTGAAAGGACTGGAACTCAGTGTAGGTTTTCCCATGCTTGTTACAATTGGATAGCTTCTCTTGAAATTTCTAAACACTAATTTTATTTGAGTCCAGTATTAGCTATAATGGGGACATTTGGTAATCAATGACTACTTAGGGACTTTCTATAGGAAAGGCTTTCATCTGGTATTATATCAACAAGTTTTATATATACAACAGTATCTAGTGTCCAAAAATACATTTTCCATTTGATATTGTAATTTATATTTACAGTAGTTTTCTACCTCTTCACTTAGACTTTTCTTGCTATCCTATTTTTGTACTTATCTTCAGTTTGCTGGTCACTGAGTTTCTTCCTAAGGCAATCACCTTCTGAAAGTTTTCCTATGTCACATTTCTGCAGAGGTTTTTGGGGGATGGATCCAGCAAAGCCATTCTTCCCTGGTGAGGTTCACAGCCATATCCTCAAAGCTCACTGCCTCTGTTACATTGTTTGATGGTCTCCCAGGGTTATTCTCATGCAGCATGCAGCCTTGCAGCCAGTAGAAATCCTTAAAGCAAAGTGGTTTGGCCAGCAATATGCTCTGGATCAGCTCCTGCCACTCCTGTCTCATCCTTGTCCCTGCTCACTTTTTTGGTGCTTATTTATTCATGTCAGTTCATTTGTAAATATTGTAGTTTTTATTAAAAAATAACTGATTTCATATGAAGGATTTTTCAGTAGTCTAATACATGCTTTATAAATGTCATCACTGGGCTGGGGATTTAACTCAGTGGCATAAGCACCTGCCTTGCAAGCGTGTGGTTGTGAGTTTGATCCCCAATACCGATTAAAAAAAAAAAATGTCATCACTTACACAGTCTTCACATGTATACCTGGATCCTCATTTTGTAGCACTTCATAATTTTACCAATAGGGGGCACTTGAAGACTAGTGGTATTTGGTTATTCAAAAGCAGAATGAGTAGAGAACCCTTGAGTTTTTACTTCATCTTTCTGCTCCACAGAGCAGAAACAAAACAAAACAAAACATCTCTTTGGTATATTTAGGTGCAAAGCAAAAGATGCGACAGGCCTGGAAGTCATGGTTGATCTATGTGGCTGTTCGTAGGACAAAACTTCAGATGCAAACCACTGCTGTGGAATTTAGACAGCGGAGTATCTTATGGTAAGTGTGCTCGGTTGCCTTGTAGATCAGCAGCCATCATTTACTTTAGCAGCTTTGTGCTGCCCGCCCCACTTTTTTTGGTCTTTTTGAGGCAGGATCTCACTGTGTAGTGCTGGCTGGCCTTGAATTCTTTTTTTTTTTTTGTCTTTTTCCTTTTTATCGGTACTGGGAATTGAACTCACGACTGCCTGCTTGCAAGGCAGGCACTTATGCCGCTGAGCTAAATCCCCAGCCCCAACAATTTTTTTCTTTAGGAGTAGAAAAATTTATTGAAAGAGATAGCTCTTGAGAAAAGGAGGGGACCCAAAAGTGCCAATGAGCCTACTTCTCTGAGAATGTTTCATAGAACAAAGTCACAAGGGGTGGTACAGTGTGGGTCAAATTATGATCAGAAAGATTACAAATATAATTGCCTACCAAATATAATCAACCAATAGCTTCTTAGCTAATATTTATCCAATAGTAAGTAGCAAGGACATATGGATGACATTAACCTTTGTCAATAATTTGTAGTTTTAGTTTGGTGGGAGAAGATGGCCCACTCCTAATGAGATAATGGTTTGTTTATATGGGAAATGTCAAAAGGGTGATACCAGTAGTATCAAGCTTCTGTTTGTCTCTTAGGAATATCTAGTTTTGATGTGTTTTCATCTTCTGTGTTGATTCCCTCGAGGACCCAGCCCTGTCATACTGCACATAATATTTTTACCTTACTTACTGTCTGTTAAGATTTTCCCCTCTGAAGAGGTTTCCCTAATTGCCATGAAGAAGCAAGAGAAAGCAATATTTTTTTAACACAGTTGGTGCCTAATATTGTATTTATTACCAATATGTTCAACTGTAAGTTCAACTTTTCACATAATCATAATACTAATTGAGCACTTACTGTGTTCTAAACCCTGTAAGTTTATGTGTATTAATTTTTTAATGTGAACTATTTGATTTAATGCTTACATAAACTTCAAAAACAGTTATTGTACAGATTAAGATGTACAGTAAGGCTCAGAAAGGATGAGTAAATTGAGCTCAGATAAGAGGTAATTGTCATGGCCAGAAAATGGCTCAGTGGCACAGTATCTGCCTGACAATCGAAAGGTCATGCCTGCCTGTAATTTGAGCACTTTGTGAGGCTGAGGCAGAAAGATTACAACTTTCAGGTCAGGCTAGGCAACTCACCAAGACTGATCTCTAAGTGAAGGAAAGAAGGAAAGAAAAGATAGAAAGGACAGAAAGACAGGCTGGGGATGTCGCTCAGTGTGAAGGTCCTAGGTTCAGTCACACACACACAAAAAAAAAAAAAAAAAAAAAAAAGACCCCTTGCTGAGATCTGGCCACCTGGACACTGAATAAAGCATATATAGCTTTGTAGATACATGAACTGTTGGAGCATTTGCTCTCTCAAAGTCTTATTTTTCTCAACTGTGAAATAGGCACACTTCTTTCAGAATTGTTATTGGGAGTAAGGTAATGTATTTGAAGTAGTTAGCCCTGTTGAGAAAATAAGTGAACATGAAGTTACTTAAAAAGTTATCTGAACTTTATTTAGCAAATATTTTTAAATGCTTATTTTTAGTATGCAGTTGTTCTTAAGTGTATGGGGGACATTTTTTATTTTTTTATTTTTTTTGGTACCAGGGATTGAATTCATGACCTTGCACTTGCCAGGCAGGTTATGGGAAATATTTTTATATAATTAATTTACTTAGTGTGCTGTCCATTGAGAGCTGAAAATGTTGTGGATAACACATTGGTGCTGTTCATTCAGAGAACTTGTAATTCCTTAAGTGCTTAAAAAGAGAAGTGGGGGGCCAGAGGTTTAACTCAGTGGTGCAATGCTGCCTGGCAAGTGTGAGGTCCTGAGTTTGATTCCTGATACTCTCTCTGCCGCCACACACACAAAAATGATAATGAAAGATAGCTGATGATTTTGGAGTGAATGATACAAGTAAGCATGTCCTCTGCTAAGAAAAAAGGGAGGAGTCTTTGTGAGTAGAATGACCAAGCCAAGCAATTGTTCTTGTAAAGTAAGAGTTGGATACTCTTTATTTGCTTTTCCTATAGCAAAGTAGAAAATTAAATGAAAAAAAACAAGACTGAAATAAAAACCTGTCCCAAGACAGTAGGAAGAGAAAGGATCCAGCAAGACTGGAAATCTAAAATCTACTTTTTCCCTGGATTATTCAGGAAAATCTCCTGATTTAAAAAAAAAAAAAAAAAAAAAAAAAAAAAAAATATATATATATATATATATATATATATATATATATATTTGTTGTTGTTGTTTTTTTGAGACAGGGTCTTGCTGTGCAGTTTAGGCTGTCTTTGAATTCACTATGTAGCCCACACTAGCCTTGAACTCAGGGATCCTCCTGCCTTAGCCTCTCAAGTGCTGGGATTTTAGATAGCTGCCATCACATCCAGCAGATCTCCTGAGTTTTAAATATTGGCAAAATGTGTAATTTTAGAAAAATAAGCAGTGTAAGCCAGGTTACATTATATTGCTGGATCTGAAGTTAGAAATCATCAGTTTCCTTCATTGGCAGTTCAGGGACTGGTTCTTGATTGTTTTTCTTTTCTTTTTGGAGACAAGGTTTCGCTATTTAGTTCAGGCTGATCTTGACCTTATTTTGTAGCCCAGGCTGGTCTCAAACTTGCAACGACCCTCCTCCTCTGTCCTCCTCAGCCTCCTAAATGCTGGGATTACAGGCATGCACCACCACGCCCAGCTTGATTGGTGTTTTTTTAGCAATGAATATCACATATCTTAGTCCTGAAATGGCACTGCCAGGGAGAGTAACTTAAGCTGAGGGTCAGAGGCACAGTTCTAACTGCTCTTCTCTTTTGCAGGTGGCCTTTTTTCTAACCTGTTTCATCTTGATTTGATCTTTCAGTTTGTGGTGGAGCAAGTGGAAGCAGCAACTGGGACAGGCCCACATGAACCATGCTTTCTATGCCACAGCCGTAAAGCACAGGGCCTCCAGCCTCCAGCTGCAGGTGAGTCCCCCACATTTGGGTTTGACATTCTGTGTCCTTGTTATGAAGTCATGGGCACAGAGGGCGGGGTCAGGCTCCCAGCAGGAAGCCATCCTGCTGCTGCTTTCTACTTGAAGGGCAGTTCAGGTGCCGCTAGAGAGGGTGTAGCCAGAAGCAAGATGGAAGACAGTTGAACTCTAGTATAGACAAGTGCTGCTTACTAGGAAGATATTTGGCTTAGATGTGATTCTCATGGTTTGTAGAGAACGTCTGGTAACTATGGAGCCAAATGGGATTTAGGAATTAATTAATGTAGACTCTTATTTTCTCATTACTGTTTTTCTCCAGCAAATTAGAAAATAATGTAGGCATTATCCAAGTCTATTGGTACATGCCTGTAATCCCAGCACTGAGGGAGCCTGAGGCAGGAAGATTGCAAGTTGGAGTCCCATCAGGAAATTTGGCAAAACCATGGCAAAATAAAAAATAGAAAGGGCTATATAGTGTTTCTTAGGACCTTTGTTGTCTCTGAATGTTGTTATTTTTTTTGTGTGTGTCTGTTGGGTACTTATAGTGCTACTAAGTCAGTTACAGAAAATAGAACAGTGAAAAAAGAAAAAGAATGAGGATTATATATGTCAAAATTACAAAAACAAAAGAAAGAAAGAAAATAGAACATTGAGACAGAAAAAATAGTATAGTACCTGTTAGTAAATGTAGGAGTAAACCCAGCATGGTGGCTTATGCCTATAATTGTAGCTCTCAGGAGGCTGAGGCAGGAGAACCCTTGAAAGTTGAGACCAGCCTGAGCTACACAGCAAATTCAAGGCCAGCCTAAACTGCATAGTGAGACTTGTCTTAAAAAGGCACACACACATAAATAAATGAGTAAATAAATAAATATAGGAGTAATATGTTTTTGACAACATATTGCATAGGTTATGCAGGATATGCAGATTCAAAGCAAATAGCATTTACAGGACTGGGGTTAAGAGTGGGTTTAAATTTGATCCCCAGCATCCAAACAATAAGAAAAAATTTTAAAAATCCTATATATATTCATCTAAATCAAAAATCAGTAAACTCTGTCCCATAAGCCTTTTTTTTCCTTTTTGTCTTTCTGAGACAGGATCTCACTATGCAGTTCAGGCTGGTCTTGAACTCACTTTATTACCTAGGCGGAACTCACAATAATCTACCTGCGTCAGCCTCCTAAGTCCTGGGATTACAGGTGTGCACCAATCATACCTGGCCCATACGCCAAATTCGTCTTGGTTTTCTGTTTTTTTTTTAAATGAAGTTTCATTAGAACACCTCAATATCTATTCACTTATATATTTTCTGGGCCGACTTTTAGGCTGTAAGAACAGACAGTGTTAAATAGTTGCAGCAGAGACCATATAGCCTATAAAGATTAAAATATTTGTTATCCAACCCTTTAAGAAACCTTGCAAGGAAATAAGAGGCATAGTTGAAAAACAGCAACAGAAAAGAAAAAATCTCCTAAAACCAGTAACAGATATAGAGTGATTAAGTGTGTGTGTGTGTGTGTGTGTGTGCGTGTGTGTGTGTGGGTACATGCACATGCATGTGTGTATTTGTTGTCAATAATCAAATCTAGAGCTTATATATGATGCCAGGCAAGTGTCTACCACTGGCTACATCCCTAGCCCAGCAATAGCATCATTGCGGTCTTACTTGTAATCGCTGGATTAAGGTGTTTTGCATGGGGCTGGGGATTTAGCTCAGCGGCATAAGCGCCTGCCTTGCAAGCAGGCAGTCATGAGTTCGATCCCTGGTACCGATAAAAACGAAAAAAGACCAAAAAAAAAGATGTTTTGCATACATTATCATTTGATTTTTATAATTCGTTTTTCTTTTTCTTTTTAATTTCTTTTTTTTTTTAAACCTATTTACTATTGAGAAAAGTAGGAAGGTTAAATAACTTGAATCAGAATGATACAGGTAGCAAAGGTTGGAGCCAAAAGGTAACTTAAGTAGCCTGAAAATTGCAAAGCTAATCACTGTTAATCACCCTCCTGAATTGTTCTTACTAGACTTGAAATGTCAAAATTGAGATGTCAAAAGGGAACAAATAGGTAAGAGCATTATGAGAGTGATTTTCTGTCGTTGATGGACAACAGTGTGTATACTCTTCTTCCAAATAGCTACTTTGAGAGACTAAACTCATTGTGATACTGCATTACACAGGACATTTTTAAATTCCCTTTTTGGTATTTTCTTCCAGGCTTATAACAACAAATTTGATTGAATATTTTCGTGATAACAGGTTTTCATGGTTTGAGGTTGGATTTAACTTAGATCGATAGTCAAAAGTCATTTAGAGTCAAATCCAGTGAAAAGTGTGAATAATCAAGGTAGTACTGACATAGACCAACAACTCAGTAAATTGAGTCCATTGTGCAGATTATAAGTACCTGCTAATATAGTTTTCCGAGCACTTACACTTATGTAATTTCTGTTAATCTCCCAGCATCTCTGTGAACTAGGTAGATCAAGGTAGACATCATGAGATATATGAGATTTTTTTTTTTTCCCCTGGTACTGGGGATCAAACTCATGACCACCTGCTTGCAAGGCAGGTGCTTACGCCACTGAGCTAAATCCCCAGCCCTGATATATGAGATTTTAAAAAATTAAATTTAGATATTTCAAATGTAGAAAGATATAAAATAGAGAACATTTATGAGAGTACTAATATGTGTCTAGGTACTCCCACCTAGATTTCAAAGATATAAATATTCTTGCTTCAGCTGAGTGTGGTGGCACACATCTGTAACCTCAGCACATTGGAGGCCCAGGCTGCAAGGTGAGTTCAAGGCCAGTCTGAACTGCATAGTGAAACTCTGTGTCATAGGGTGTCTTAGTTACTTTTTACTCGTCACTGAGACAAAATACCTGAAGCCTAAGTTGGGAAAGGAAAGGTTTATTTCTTACAGTTTTTGGAGGTTTCAGTCCACACTCAGTTGGCTCCCAGGTAGGCAGGCATGGCTGGACTGCACTTCATGGCGGCTGCCAACGGCAAACTCGAACCAGCAAAGAGAAAGACACACCTTCTTCCTGCCATTACATCACATCCTGGCTCCACCCCTAGGTGGGTGGAGCACTGACACCATCAATCCAAGCACTAGACAATGAACCAATCACAAATACACCTTGCAAACTCGTGAGGCCTGGGGGACACAAACATAAACCATGACATAGGGCAACAACAAAATCTTCTTCCAGAATTGTTTTAAAGTAATAAAATATAATGGACACTGCCAAAATCTCTTTTCTTCTCTCCTTTTTTTAAACATTTTTTTTTGAGACAGGGTCTTGCTCTATTGTTCAGGCTGGCCTTGAGCTCATTATGTGTCCCAGGCTGGCTTTGAATTTGTGGCAAACGTCCTCCGAATTGCTTATGATCCTGTGATCACTTTGCTATATTCTTAGAAAAATTTGTGCATATATATCCATAAAGAATAAATTAACGTGTGCTTACAGCTTGCTTTTTTTTCTAATGCAGCAGTATATTTTTGAGAGTTTCCCATTTGGAGCTAGAGCTGTTCTCCCCATGCTTGTTATCAAACCTAGTGCCCTTATGGAGCTCTATTAATTGCACATTATGCTGGTTGTATGAATAAGGCATAGTTTACTCACCATTGATGGACTCTGGGTTGGTTTGTAAACTGGTATTTCTGCTTTTTTGTAATTACTAACAGTATTGCAGATAGCATTCTTAAATACATCACAAATATAACATACAAATGTATGAATGTTCTCTGGTTGCTAAAAGTGAAATTGCTGGGTCATTGGGTTTTCATCTCTATCCTTATCCAATCTCTCTCTGGTACTATTAATTGAATATCATGGTTCCTCAGGTGAACACTTTTTCATGAATAATTTGGTTTGCTAACAAAAGTATCTGGCAAAATTTTGTTTTTGTTTGCAAACTCTACATTGAGTAAAAAACAGCAGCTATATTTCCTACAAAAACAAACATGGCCATGTTTTCCAAAATTGTGGAAACTTTAGTTCATGTACTGTTGTATTTCAGTTTCGGTTTCTTTCAGCCTCATCAGCATGTTGCATTGTCTTTTGGTCATTTTTACCAATTTGATATGTATGACATGGTAAATCAATACTGCACTGATTCATATTTCAATGATTCCTAATGAGGTCAAGAATGTTATTTTTTTTTTAAACTTTTTTTTATCAGTACCAGGGAAAGAATGTTTTTATAGGGGCTGGGGATTTAGCTCAGCGGCATAAGCACCTGCCTTGCAAGCGGGCGGTCGTGAGTTCGATCCCTGGTACCGATAAAAATGAAAAAAAGACCAAAAAAAAAAAAAAAAGAATGTTTTTATACACTTAATTGGTTTTCTACTTTTGAGCTTGTTTTGTGTTTCCTACTATTCTTTTCCTGTTGGGTTATTTGTCCTTTCTGATTTGTAGACACACTTGAATATATTCTATTTCCTGATTCTGTGTATCATAGTTTGCAAATACGTTCTCCTAGTAGTATCTTTAAAAAAAAAATACAGAAGTCATTAATTTCTTATTTATTTATTTATTTATTTATTTATTTTTAATTAGTACCAGGGATCGAACTCACAACCGCCTGCTTGCAAGTTAGGTGCTTATGCCGCTGAGCTAAGTCCCCAGCCAGAAGTCATTAATTTCTGTGTAGCCTAATTTAGTCTTTTAGTTCAGTCTTTAATCTTGAGATTAATTTTGTGAATTTGAAACATTATCTTAATATATCATTTTCCATATGGATTATCAGTTGCTGCAGCACAAGTTCTGGAGTCAGAATGCCCAGATGACTATTATACCTGTATCACCTGTTAGCTTTGTGCTGTGAATGAATTGCTTAACTTCCCTGTGCCTCAGATTTCTTAAGTAGATAATGATAGTATCTACCTCATGAAATTGTTGAGAATCTAGTATGATGATGTACGTCATGTATTCAGAATAATGCCTGGAATGTTTACACATCCCCTTTATTATTGCTAAAGTCTCTGTATATGGGAGAGGGTCTTTTTTTTTTTTTTTTTAATTCCTCTATACTGGGGATTGAACCCAGAATCTTGTACATGCTAGATAAGTTATAACTAAACTACATTCCCATCCATTTTTAAAATTTTTATTTTTAGATAGTTTTTGCTTAGATGCCATAGCTGGTCTTAAACTTGTGATCCTCATGCCTCAGCCTCCTAGGTAGCTGTGATTACAGGCACATACCAATATGCTTGACCATGTTCTTACTCTTTTTCAAAAATTGTCATGATTATTATTCTTTATTCTTACTAACTTTAGGGTTGTCAGGTTCCACAATGAAGTCTATTACAATTTTTTATTATTTTTTTTATTTTTTCTTTTAGGTACTGGGGATTGAACTCACAACCTTATGCTTGCTAGGCAGGTATTTATGCCTCTAACCTAAATCCCCAGCCCTACAGTTTTTATTATTGTACACTGATTTTTGACATTAGCTTGAGAAAATTGCCAGATTTACAATATTGTATCATACCGTCCATAAATTTGATGCAACTTTTGATTATTGTCAAGCACAAGAGGACAGAAAGAAGAATGAAGTCATGAGGTAACAGAGAGCCAAAACACAGGACCTTGCAGACTTGTACCTTATCAATTAAGCTGCAGCTTTTATGCTGCTGGCTCCGAGAAAAGAAGTGACATGATTGTGCCTACATCTCAGCAGGATCCACCTGACTTATAATGTGCTGCCTTCAGGATGAGAAAAGGAAGGCGTTTTGTGAATGTGTACATATTGTGTGTAGTTTTCTTATATTTCCAAACAGAAAAATTTAGAAACCACCAACACTGTCACCCAAAAAAGATACCTATAAGATGAGGGAGAGGAGTATTTTTGTGAATTAACTTTGTTACATAGTTCTAAATTTGAAACTGTATAAATGTTTTACAGAATTAAAAAGCAAATATGGAAGAAAAGGAAGAAAAGATAAAAATTTAAAAACCAAATATAAATCAAAAAGCAATCCCTAGAACTTTAAAGCAAATTAAAACAAACATACCAATTTGTGGCAATAACTATTTCTGGGAACTTTGGGATCGAACTCATGACCTTGCTTATACCAAGCAGGTGCTTGTGCCACTGAGCTAAATCCCAAGCCCCTACTTCTGGGAACTTTATAAAGTATTTATGTATTGTATATTTTGACTATGTATTCCTAGTAGAATGTATTCTAAAGACATAAACCACTAAGCCATTGAAAACTGTGTTTAGTGGTCTTACTGTTACTAGCAAGTTTAGAATTATGTTAAAATTATTATAATAACTACTTTGTAAAATAAAGCAAATTACTGTGGCACTGTCTTTAGGAATCAGGATTTTCAGCATAAAAGAAAAGATTGTAAGTATAAAATGAAAAGAATTAAAACCCTGTAAGCTATAATTGGATGAATGAACATTAGTATGGACCCAAGGTTTTATTTTGTCTTTAAAAATGTTTTTAAATCTTTTGTTGAAAAAACTTAGAACTGTGGCAATAGTATAGCTTTTAATGTCCTAAGTGCCCAAATTGTGGTTTCTATTATTTCCCTCTGAAAGAATTGAGAGCTTTTTTGAGAAATGTTGATTATTTATAGGTCTGGGTCAGGAAATAGACAGAATAAGCTGAATAAGACAGGAATAGACAGAATAAGCTATGCCATAAAGTGAAAAAATTAACAAAACCTAGTAGGATTGTGGTAAGGATTCAGAAGTGAGTTTGAACGGGTTTTAAGATAGAAAAATTGGGGCATTGAAAAAGAATAATATTACAAGTGGTTGAAGAATATCAAATACCTAAAAATTCATGCACTGAAAATGATTTTTAACAACTATTCATTTGTCATTATTTTGGGTAATTAGAGTATTAACTCAGTATTGTGAAAATCAATGAAGACAACAAAATAAAGCATACATCGCATCTTTCTTGTACAGTCTATGTTCCATAAGCCAAATGGTTAATGAGAAGGAATACTTCTTTATAGAAGAATTCCAGTTAATAAATAGCAGCTTCTGTCTCAGTCATCCTCATTTCAGTAAATGGCAACTCCATTGTTCTAGCTGTTTAGAGTCATGGACTCCCTTCTGTTTTTCACTTTAGCCTTTCCAGCATGTGTCTTTTTGTTGCCCCTCCAATCCCACACCAGTTGTGCTGCCTCATTTTCCTGCCTCTCCCTTGACCATTGTCCTTACTCTGGTTTTCAGGCTTGGTCTCAGTGGAAGGAGCAGCTCCTACTGAGCCAGAGGGAGAAATGGAAGGTGATCTCAGCAGTGCAACATCTTCAGTGGTGGCAAAAGAGGAAGTCCCTGAGGGCCTGGCTTGAATATCTGAACGTGCGCAGAGTAAAGAGACAGCAGAATGGTGAGGAGGAAGCCCCTGTTGCCCAAGACAGAGAAATTGGGCACAAAATCCATTCATTTTCCTGTTGCCAGTAGTATTTTATAAAGACATATAGCCACAAATTTTTTTGAAAAGAAATCAAAACAACTATATCATTCTGTTTTGATTCTCTTTATGTACTTTTATTGTTTCTTTTTTAAAACAGAGTCTTGCTGTGTAGTTCAGGCTGATCTTAAAGTCATTGTGTAGCACAAGCTGGCCTCAGTGGTCCTCTTGTCTCAGCCTCCTAAGTGTTGGGATTATGGGCATTTACCACTATGTGTGGCAAAAATGATGACATTCTTGATTTACATCTATTTCCCTGTGGTCTTTAGTTCTATACGTACATTTCATTCAAATAGAAAAGCGTATATTTTATGTCACATGAGGTTGTTGATATTGTGATTAATTTGTGGGATGTTTTTGTTCTTTTTTTTTTTGGTGTTAGGAATCAAACTCACAACCTTGTATTTGCCATGCAGGTGCTTACACCATATGGTGATTAATTTGTTACCTAGTTTTATATTACGCCTTTTTCCCCACTGGCCTATGTCTATTCATCATATATGTTTTCTTCTTCATAAATGTTATTTATAAATGAGCATTCATGTTTTATAGAGTGGCTTATCTTAATGTTTTCCTATTGATAAATACTTGGTTTGTTTCTTTTTGTCCTCAATTATATAAATGCATGTGATTTATGATTTAGTTTTTGGATAATATTTTTTTTTTTGCATAATATTTTGGTGGCTTAGTTTTCCAGCTAGTTTCAGAAATAATAACATATAGGAGTGATCATTAGTAAATACTTTTTACTTCAATTTATTTATTTTGATTTTTTGAGACAGTTTTGCTGCGTGGGTCAGGCAGGCTGGCCCCAATCCTGCAGCAATCCTCCTGCCTTAGCCTTTTAAAAGCTGAGATTACTATGTGTGCCACTGTGCCTAGCTGTACTTGAGTTTATTGAGTTTACACAAAAATGAGTCAAGCATTGTGATATGCTTCCAGTTTTTGCCCTTGTACCCCACAGACATCTCCTAGCCTTCCAACACTGTCCCTGGAGAGAGTTTCACAGTATCTGAAGATAGTGACAGCAGGCCAGACACACAGTTGCCCAAGACTGGAAGGTGAAGGCGTGGGGCCATAGCATGATGAGCTACAGACTAATATGTGCTCCAACTACAGCATTACAAAAGTGATGCACGTGGCAGTCAGTATCAGCCAGGCTAAACACTCAAGAGGGCTTTTGCCGCACTTAGCGGCAGTTATTTGTTATCAACTCATTTTCCAAGTTCTGTCCAGGGGTCACTTACATAGAAGCAAAAGTACAACAGCTTTGTTTGAAAGTATCGGTCACCATTCCTTCTCAATAGCAATTAACTACAAATGTCAGCCTTTGGGTAGAACTAATTTTATTTTGTCTAAATCACCAGCTTTTCTCTTTCCTTGGAGAGAGGAGAGGTTAACTCAAGGATTCCTAATAATCTGTCTTCTGATATTTAAACTTTGAGGTGAAAGGTACTGGGATCAAACTCAGGGCTTCAAATATACTAAATGTGTGCTCTACTGCTGAACCACATCCCCAGCCTAAAAACTTTAAGGATCCTTTGTGGAAGGAGCCTTGAATCTCTATGCCTTGCCAGTAGCAGGGTTTACTTCAACTTAAAGCTTTTTCTAGGTCATACCCTGAATAGCACCTAAATTATATTTCTCTGTTTCAGAGATGGCTGAGCGATTGCATCGTGTCACTGTGCTCCAGATACATTTCTATGACTGGCGGTGGGCCTGGGAGCAGAGGCAGAGCTTGTATGCCCACCAGGCCCTAGTGGAAGAGCTGGCCAGGAAGATGGCATTGCGGAGGGTCTTCTCACACTGGAGACACTGTATCCTTTTCAGCCACCCAGGCCTGTCAGCCTCCTCAGGCAGTATAGTCTGAGCTTAATAGTGTGTACAACACAAGTATCAAGAGGAAGCAATGACCAAATAATTTAAGATAGTTTTACCTGTGTTGATTTCTTTAAAAAATAGTTGGGGCTATGCAAACAAAACAATATTTTCAACATATATTTACATATATATTTACAGTTTAATAAACAATAATTAAATGAACCACTGGCCAATTTAAAAAGTAAAATGTTTCACAAGTCCTTTCTTGACATCCCCTCACCTGGCCCACAGACACCTTTGTCCTTTATTTTTTGTTACCATTTGTTTCCTCTATGCACTAGGTGGTAGAAATAGCCATACAAGTCTATTTCTTTTTTGTTGTTATTTTGAGACAGTTGTCTCACTATTATGTACTTCCGACTGCCTTGAATTTATATGTAGCTCAGGCTAACTTTGAATTTGTGGCAATCCTCCTGCCTCAGCTTCCTGAGTGCTGGGATTACAGATGTATGTCACCACACCCAGTATCAAGTCTATTTTGTAGTGACACCATCACATGATCATAACTTCCATTTATTTAAGCTTTCAGTATTTGCAGGCATTATGCATTATTCTCAGTTCCTGTGCAGTGTTGTCACTATTTATAGATGAGAAGCAGATTTAAGGGGCTAAATGAGTAAGTCATTGGGAGAACGCAGACCTGTAGTCCTATACACATGTTCTTAGTTGCTTTCTTTTTTTTTTTCTTTGTTTTGTTTTTTGGTACTGAGGATCGAACTCATGACCTTGTGCTTGCCAGGCAGGCACTTACGCTGCTGAGCTAAACCTCCAGCCCTACACATGTTCTTAAATCACTATCCCTACCACATTGTGTTCAAATGTGAAAATTTGGACTGCCCTAGATATTTATCCCCACACATTCATTTGTTCATTAAAGAAAGTCCTTTTCTGTGTTAAAGTCCTGCGTAAGTTCTGTTTTATAGGGAGATTCAAAAGACTGTAACAGTATTCACTGTCTCATGAGGAAAGTAAACATGATAAGGGATTTTAACAATATAATGTGAAAAGTACTGTCATAAAGCTTTGTGTCAAGTCCGGTGAGAGCCACTATGGAGATTCAGGCAAGAAAGTAATGTACCTTAGAAATGACAAGTTCTCCCAGCAAAATAGTTGGAAAGGGTCTCTTAGTTGGAAAGGACAGTGCTACCCAGGCTTACAGGTGAAGAAGAACATTTAAGAGCCTGTAGAATGGTATACTGCTGGCTGATGGGAGAGTCAGTACAAACAGGGCTAGCCTGTAGGGCCATTGTGTGCAGTGCTCAAGATTTTGGGCTTTATCCTGATGGTACTAAGGAATGCCTGGATGTGTTCATAAAGAGAAGCAGTGTTGTTAGATGTGTGCTGTAGAAAGAACACTTTTGCATTAGAGAACAGGCTTGGTCAGGAAGACAAGTTCATGTGAGGAGTCATACTCACCCGTCTATGTGAGGAACAAGTCACAGAAACTGCAGGGGCAGAGAACAGCAGGAGACAGAACAGCTCTGCTTGGAGGAGAGCAGATGGACTTGGTGGATTAGAGAGGGGGAGAAGAATGGATTTGAAAATAACTTCAGGGGGCTGGGGATTTAGCTCAGCGGCATAAGCACCTGCCTTGCAAGCAGGTAGTCGTGAGTTCAATCCCTGGTACCGATAAAAACAAAAAAGAGAAAAAAAAAAAAAAAAGACATTTATTGAAAATAACTTCAGGTTTTTAGCCCAAATATCTGACTGGACATCACAGCAAGACAAAATACAGCTGGGTGTGGTGGTGCTCGCCTGTAATCCCAGCAGTTGGGAGGCTGAGACAGAGGATTGTGTGAGTTTAAGTCCTACATAATGAGATCTCCACCTCAAAAAAAAAAAAAAAATGTAGAGAAGGATCATGTCCTGTTTGTGATATGGTGCTTTTGAAATGTTTGTCAAAACTGGTGGCAACTTATCTCAAGTACTTTTCTCTTCTCATCAAATAGACATCTTAGGGAACAGAGGCAAGGCCATCTGTTTGGTAAGGAACTTACATAGCACTGCTTTTACCCACTGCTTCCCTGGTTCACCACAAGGAATCAGATGAATCACCTGGCAGGGCTGTTACTTCTGCAGCCATGATCCTTCATGTGAGTCTTGAAAGAAAGTATGGGGGTGAAACCTGGTGGAAACTGGAGACCTTAACTTCCTGGCAGATGTGTTACTGTGTACAGAAGAAACTGCCCAGCGCAAAGTGGCAGAACGGCACCACCACTGCAGCCTGCTGGTAAGAGCACTGCAAAGTAGTGCAGTTGTGCTCCTCGGCCTTGATGGCATCCATATTTGGGGGATTGTGAGCCACGCTGGCTTGCACAGTACAGCCAATTCTAGGCTATGTTCAGGCACAAAGCCCTCTTTTCATTGTGAATATCCCTGTTTGCATTTTGTATCACAGAAATTAATGATACTGGGTCAGAGGGATTTGGAGCTTAGAGATGAACTAGTCCTGGGGGGCTTTTACATAGTGGGACTCCTTTTTTAAATCCCTAATCTTAACAGAGCTCAACCTCACAGTGTGGAGCTTGAATCAATATCTGAGAAGCAAGTTCTTGTTCTCCTGGCTTCTCTCCCCCGGCCCTTACCACATATCTTTAACATCTTTGTGAGGCCTCTTGGATTCCACAGAACGCAGTATGAAATCCTTTAACTCTCTTCCTTTAATTCTCTTCACTTTTGTCTCAGAACACTGAAACCCAGGTGCAGGGAAGTGGGAGCAAATGAGCTTTGCTTAGGTCATATATGAGGCATTATTCATGGAGCTGGAGGCAGGCTTCTACCCCAAGCCCTTGTACCTGAGGACTTCTGTTCCACTCTAGCAAAACTGCATGCATAGTTGTAGGAATGTATGCTGTTACCCTTACATGGTAAAAAACAAAAGCAGAAAACCAAACCTACCATTGGCAAAATGCCTGCTTTTGTTTTTTTGGAGAGGCAAAAATTGATGTTTGGCCTCTGCCCGTAGAATTCTCATCTAGGTCATGGGATCCTCTTGGTCAAAGGTGAAGGTTTATTTGTTCCTTTGCAGTACTGTGGACAGTAGGGTTTGGTTCAGCCAATATTAGTGAGGGTCTGCTTGTATTAAGTTTCTGATTAAATCTCAAGGCAAAGAAACACAGGGAGATGAGTGGCCCTGACCTTTTCATCCTCTGATTTGGAGAAGTGCTTTCCTTCGCCTGTACTTATTTCGGTAAACACTGCTGATTCTTTATAATCACTTGTGTTCTTTACATAGAAATTTTGCTTTAGAGCCCTAAAACACAATATGAGCCAAGTCCATCTCCAGCAAATAAGAAGGAATCTTGCACACCAGCAGCATGACATGATGGTAAGGGTTATCTTCTATTTCAAGGGACCCCCTCTGATGGTCATTCTGTTTTTATAACCTTTGTGCTCAGAGATTTGTCCAGATGTTAGACTACAAAATTTTAATGGTCAGCTGGGGATGTAGCTCAGTGGTAGAGTGCTTGCCTAGCAAGTACAAGGTCCTGGGTTTAATCCCCAGTACCAAGAAAAACAAACAAAATTTTGATGCTTATTTTCTGTGCTAATCCATAGCTGCTAACAAAAGAACTTGTTTTTGTCTCATATAATCCCATTTTTAATCTGTTTGCTAAGAAAATTAATAGTTGACACAGAGATCAGGGACCATGGATTTTAACTGGGAGACAGAGGATTAGGTAACGAAAATACATTCAGTTCTGTTTTATAGGAGGCAGTGTTTGTATTTCCACTGCAACTGTTTGTTTCTGTAGTTGGTTTACCTGAGGTCAAAAAGTTCCTCTCTTTGTAAATTTTATTTCTGAGCATAGGAGAATAGAATTTGTTGTTTTATGGAAATGTTCAAACATACAAGAACACAGGATAGTACAATAAACATGTATATACTCATGACCTAGATTCACATTTATTAATATTTACTATATCTGCTTTAGTTTTTCCCATGAGTGATTTCTAAGTAAATTGTAAACATCATGATGCTTTGTACCTAAACATTTCAGCAAACATCACCTCAAAAATGAGACTACTAGCCAGGCGTGGTGGCTCATACCTGTAATCCCAGCACTCGGGATGCTGAGGTGGGAGGACTGTTGCGAGTTTGAGACCAGCCTGGGCTACATATTGAGCTCAAGGCCAGCCTGAGCTACATAGCAAGACCCTGTCTCAAAAAAAAAAAAGACACACAAAAAAAAAAAGAAAAAAAAGAAACTAGCTTCTTACATAACCACAATATCATTTTTATCCCCAGCACAATTAACAGCCATTCTTTATATTACCCAATATCCAATTCATACTCAAATTCTTTTATTTATTTATTTATTTTTGATACTGGGAATTGAACTCATGATCTTATGCTTGCCAGGTGGGCACTTTGCCACTGAGCTGTATCCCTGGCCCCTCCTATTCAAATTCTTACATTTGTCCCCAAAATGACTTGTTAGCTGCTTTTTTTTTTTTTTTTTTTTTTTTTGGTCTTTTTCCTTTTTATAGGTACCAGGGATCGAACTCACGACTACCTGCTTGCAAGGCAGGCGCTTATGCCGCTGAGCTAAATCCCCCGCCCTGTTAGCTGCTTTTTTTTAAAAACTAGGATTTAGGGCTGAGGGTTTAGCTTAGTGGCACAAACGCCTGTTTGGCAAGAGCAAGGTCATGAGTTTGATCCCTGGTATACTCACCCCCTAAAACAAGAAAAAAATAAAAACACAAAAAAAAACAACTAGACTTTAATTAAGGATTGTTCATTATATTTGATTATTATGTCTCTTATAGCTCTTAATCAAGAGCAGTTTATCCCCATCCTCCTACACTGCTTTTTTTTTACACATTTAGTTATTTTTATATTTTTTGGTTATAAGACACATATTCTATAAAATTTATCACCTTAGCTATTGTGAAATATACAATTCAGTGGTATTCAATGCATTCACATTGTTGTGCAACCATACCATTATCCATTTCTAGAATTCTTTCATCTTGCAAAACTACCACTATACCTTTTACTTGTATCCCCTTTTGCAGTGTTAGTGCTTTTTTTTTTTGGTACTGAGAGTTGAACTCAGGACTCTATACTTGCCAGACAGTGGCCTATGCCACTGAGCTATAACCCCAGCCCCTACCCTTTAACCACTAATTCCTCATTGTCTTTCCCCTACCCCCTGGCTACCACTATTATTTCTGTCGCTGAAGTTCACAACTCCTGCGGCCTCATATCTATCTCATTTATGCCATTTAATTTTCCATTCTGTGTAGCAGTTTCTGTAAAGTAGAAGTTAGAGCAAAGGACTTGATTAATTGAAATTAACCATTTTTGGCAAGATTACTTCATTGAGTGGCAATAGTGGTAAGATCAGTTTTAATTTCTAAAATGACTTTTTTTTGTGTGGGGAGAGTACCAGGAATCAAACTCATGCCCTCAGTACTGTGCTGCTGAGCTATATGCCTGGCCCCTTAAAATAACTTTCAAAAATGGCATTTTCTTCAGTGAGACTCAGCTTAGGAATAGTTCATTCATCCAGATTTCCATAGATTGAAAGAACCATCTCTTTACCTTTTTTTTAGTTCAGATAGGTACAGAACTCAGCCTAAGTATGTTGACTGTTCCAGACAGTATTTGGGGGCGTTCACAGTAGGATTCACTAATACGCTAAGAGCAGTCATTCTGTGTTTCACCTTAGTAAATTTCCATTTTATTTCTGTTTTGTTTCAGTTGCTACATAGGTTCTGGAACCTCTGGCATTCTCGGATTGAGCAGAGGGAAGAAAAAGAGCTGCTCCCCTTACTGAGCATAGCTTGGGGTCACTACAGGTAGGACTCCGGCCTTAGCCTCAGCATCTCCCAGGATACCTTGTTATTCCTACTGGGTGTAAGTTAGTGCAATACAGTACTGCCAAAAGTTCAGAAAGAGTTTCTAAGGAGACCTTACTGTAAACCTGGATTACATTTTGCTTTTTGCAGGTCAGATGGGAGGTGGAATGAAGACATTTATACCAAGTCTTGCCATTGTTCTTCAGGTGTTGTGGTATTCACATTTCAGGACTTAGCTTTGCTAGTGTTAAAGGATCAGGCCAGATGGGTATTTGTGCCTTGATGTCAGTGAAGGGTGCGAGGAATGTTCTCAGTTTTTTAGAGCTCAACATTTGGTTAAATAAAGCACTACATGTCCTTGGAGAAAATTCAGAATGTATAGCAGGAAGGATAAAATGAAAATAAAAGTTGCCTGCTCCCCTCTATAATTTTTTGTCTTAAGTTTTTAAATGTAACCATTATTAATTTTTTTCTAAAATAGTGTGTTCAATGTCCTGCTCTCTCTTTTTTTCTTTTCTCATTAATTTGCCAAGTTACAGATTCTTTTTTAATTAATTATTTATTTTGGGTGCAAGAAATCAAACACAGGGCCGCCAGATACTAAACAGGTGCTCAGCCTTGGAGATACACCCCAGCCTTAGAGCATGAAAATGCCCCACCCCTTGGAGCATTAAAAAAATAAGCCAGTGAGAATCCTAATATTTAATTAACTCAATTCAGAGTTTGTCAAAGCATAGCATTAGTCTCAATCTTGGTTTATAAAACTGAGTGTAGCTTTTGTTTTTAGTATCCCTACATTAAAGCGAGCATATCACAGGCCCAGATGGTCCTAAATAAGCCCCAGAGTTTGGCCATAAAACCAGCAAGTTCAGGATCTCAGGGTATTTCATACGTATTCCAAAAATACTGTGCCTAGTGGTCTATTTAGATTTATAAAAAAGTTATCAAGGACTAGAAATGTGGTGTAGTAATAGAGCACTTGCCTACCATATGGAAGTTCCTTGTTTCTGTCACTAGCACTGCAAAAGAAAAAAGAAGTTGTCAAAATGTTAAGTAAGCCAGAGTGCAAAAATCAGGAGCTGACAGGTTTCATGTTACCTATCATGTTCTTATTTCCCTATCTCCTAGAATGAAACCAGTAAGTCCTTGAGGTAACTTAACTCAAAAGAAGTATCTGTACTCAGATTTACCTGCCCTAAAAATAAAACAAAAATTTAAAAATCTGAAACTTGAAGGTGCAAATGGGTCATACTTTGATGCTTTTTATTTCAGGGTAACATTGCTACACAAGTCTATCAAGTCGTGGTTACTTTATACTCAGAAAAGAAGATACAAGCAGGTATGGAATACTTTAAAACAGATAGCTGTACTGCCTTACATTCTTGAATTGGCTTTGGAAAGTCTCTTGGGAAAGGCCTGTGCCAGAAGATCCTGCTCTTCTGGTTTGGTGGAAAGAATGCTGTAAAAAGCTCAGATGTGTTTCTTTCAGTCCCTGCTTATGTTGTCAAAAACTGCATGAATCGTATTCCTTCATCTGCTGGAAAAATGGAGGAAAGTAATGAGTGTTTACCAGCTACACATATATATACACACACACACACACACACAAACACACACACATACATACATACATATGGGAATTACATATATGTATAATCTCCACTCCCACCCCGCTGGTGCTAGGAATAAAATCCAGTGGCATTCTACCACTGCCCATCCATTCATTCATTTTGAGGCAGGATCTCAGTATGTAGTTTAGGCTAACTCAAACTTGTAGTCTTCCGTAGTGCTGAGACTACAGGTATGTGCCACTCATCTGTATGGCCACTCATATCTCAAGTTGCATTAATTCATTATATGAGTTAGCAAGTCTGTCACCTAGAGGGACCTTCTGGAGATAAAGGGAAATACAGATAATAAATGCTGTATCTTAGTGCTAAACAGTGTCTGACACAGGTGCTCCAGTAGGTGGAGGAGTGGTGGTCAACTCAACTAATTAGTAAAAGCAGATTAATAAAGCTAAATTGAGTACTAGTTGGGAAGTATTGTACTTTTTTGCAGAACTGCTATCCTTTAGACTGCTAAGCACTGAGGATACAACTATGATACAAAGTAGGCAGAATTCCTGCCCTCACAGCCTTACGTAGCATGAGAATGACAAATAATGTGGTCTTGCAGACTGAATCTAATGATTGGGAGTAGCTGTTTGGAATGGTGAACTATGAGAGATTTTGAGGCCATAATCAGGCCAGTGGAGATGTTTGTTCAATTAATGATGTCTGCATGAAAAGTGCCCCTCAGTGGCCATCTGTGACAGTGAATCAGAGGAAATACAAACCAAACTCCTAGTTGTTTTTGTGCTGTGCTCCCTAATCTCATCTCCATCTGCTGCTAGAATCTAACAGCTATTAAAATCTAAAGATTTTGACTGGCTCCCTATAGTTTTGGGATAGAATACAAGTTTTTAGCAAGGCACACAAACTTGTCTAGGATCTGGTCACTATTTCTCTACCCTTCTGTCTTGTTAGCACTCTCCCATCAGAACTGTGCTGCCAGTTAGGCTGCCCACTCTTCCTGAATGTTCTGCTTACACTCCTGCTTCTCTGTACCCACAGTTCTCTGTGCTTCACTACCCTTGAACCTCAGGTGCTCTCTCAACCCCCAGCCTACCCCTACCTGTGTAGTTCATCAGAGCATTCATCACACAGTTGTCTGTTGGCCTTTTTCTTTTGCCAGCCTGGAACAACTTGTGAGTACATCCTGTCTCTTTTCTCTTTAGCCAGCACAGTACTTTGCAAAGAACTTGTGCTGACTAAATATATGGATGAATGAACAAATTAACTGCCATTGATCATGTCAGAATTGTTTTGAAGGATCACCTTGGTTATGGAGTTCATTTGGCTTGTTTTGTGTCACTTTGGCCTTCTACACTTAGAAAATGCTTGCAGTCACTGCACTGTTTAGATTATGTGACTATTTTTGAAAGGACATTGCCACCTATCCTCTTGAATTAATTAAATGCTAATTCAGTAGAATATTAGGAGACCTTTTAGCAAAAGACTGAGTGCCAGGGTGGAAAATTTGTGTTTATTCCAGGTGGAAAGCAGACCATTTTATTTCTTTCTGGGAAAGAGAACTCTCCTTGACCCAACAACTCAGCATATTTGAAATGTCAGTGGTCAGAGTTCACTCACATACTGCTCCAGTTTAGTCTGCTTTTGAGGGCAAAATAAGCTTAAAGAATAGCAAGAGCACTGCTTGGCCATGGCTTCTGAAAAACCTTTAGCTAACAATCTGAATGTCACCTCTCGGTGTGGATATCCCAGGATTACATCAGTTCTTTCTGTCTTAGGAAACGAAAACATTATTTATTGTTGGGTTTTTTCCATATTAAGAAGTAATAAGTATGTGTACTAATTTTCCCTCAAGGAATGTACACATTATGTACTATGCACATATACTAATAAACTGTAAAAAATAAAAAGTATTAGAGAATGGTAAAATGTTTGCTAATTTTTTTTTGTCTTTTTCCTTTTTATCGGTACCAGGGATCGAACTCACGACTGCCTGCTTGCAAGGCAGGCGCTTATGCCGCTGAGCTAAATCCCCAGCCCCTATGTTTGCTAATTTTTGAAGTTTACAGGCATTGATTAGACTGTTGCTCCTACTTTCGTTTGTATTAAAAAATGCCCATAATAAAAAGTTCAAATACAAACAGGGTACAGACAGAGAAAATTTTGGAAGGGTAGAAAGACATAAAAAGAAGGGGAAAAAATACAAGCTTGCCTTTTAAGAAGACATTTGGTAATTAAGGCTGTATTTTTCTCTATGTGGGCTGAAGTGCTTGTACCTATCTATATACATATATATGTGCATATGCACACTATTCAGTTATCTGTTGCTGTGTTAAAAATCATCCCAAACTCCATGGCATAAAATAACAACCATAATACTCTGTTAAAGGATTCTGTTGCTCAACTTAAGATAGTCACTTCTCGACCTTTTGGCTAAGATAGGTGAAATTAAGACAAAACACAGTGGGTAGCTGGACATAGTATCATACACCTAAAATCCCAGGAGACTGAGACAGGAGGAGTATAAATTTGAAACCAGGCTGGGAAATGAATTAATTAATTAATTAAATCAAACTCGCAACCTAGCACTTTCCAGACAAGGCTTTATACCACTAAGATAAATCTCTGGTCCCAGCATGAGGAATTTAGTAAGACCCCAATCTCAACATGAAATGAAAAGGGCTATAGCTATAGGGTGGTAGAGCACTTGTCTAGCATGTTTGAGGGTCTGAGTTTAATCCCTAGTACTAGAGTGTAGGGAATGCCTGGTATGGTGGTACACACCACTAATCTCAACTACTCAAGAGGCTGAGGCAGGAAGATGGGAAGTTTAAGGCTTGTCTGGACTGCATAGTGAGAACTAGTCTTTAAAATAAAGATGGTTGGGGATGCAGCTCATGGCTTGTGGTTCAGGCTTCAATACTGAGAAAACAAAGTTGCTACAAATGCATTGTTCCTCTTTTACTAGGAAGTGTGGACCTGGGCATATGTATAGCAACTGCTTTTGATCAAGAGAACATGGTCAGATTGACACGATGACTGCCAAGGCCAAATGAAGAGCCATACTCATTGCTTTGTCAACTTCAGCCATCACTTTGAGTCATTCTAAGCCAAGAACCACACATGCATGAAGATGCCCTGGATGATTCCAAATCCTTGCCATTAGACTCTTCTCGGCTGAGGCACCAGTAATCTTGGAGCCATCTCTACTATGTCTTTTTCTTCATTCATCTTTCTGTGGGGGACAAGGGCTAGAATCCAGAGCCTTTTCTCTTGAGCTATATTCCCATACCCCTTTTTTTTTTTGAGATAGATTCTTCTGTGTGGTTCAGACTGACCTCAAATTAATGGCAATTCTCCTGCCTCAGCCTCCCTACTCCTGGAATTACAACTAATGTGCCACCACATCCCACATCCCTAGACCATTTTATTTTTTATTTTGAGATGGGGTTCTGCTAAGCCATTAAGTCACCCAGTGTGGGCTTGAATTTACAATCCTCCTATCTCAGCCTCCCAGAGTGCTAAAATTACAGACATGTGCCACTATCCCTGCTCTACAACCATGTTTTAAAGCCTCCTTCCTGTGTGCCTAACAGATATACTTCCCAGTGTTTTCGGTCATGGAGCCATATCTATTTGTAGGTCAGTTATTTGTCTTTTTGCTGATAAAGTTGATAAAATAGTAACCATAATTACATAAAAAGTTAAAGAATATGGCAAATAGATTCTACAAACATAACAAAAGACTATCAAAGTTTTTAAGATTCAAAACCTATATATATCACTGAATTAAATGCAGACAATCAGGGGGCTGGGGATTTAGCTCAGCGGCATAAGTGCCTGCCTTGCAAGCAGGCGGTCATGAGTTCGATCCCCGGTACCGATAAAAATGAAAAAGACAAAAAAAAAAAAAATACAGACAATCAGATAAAACAACCAATAGGTATGAACATCTCTAAGCAGTGGGGAAAAAACAGGTATATACATATGTGTATATGTATTTATCTAAATATATATAAAGAGAAGTTCTGGTCACATGTAATTAAGGAAGTGAATAATTTTTGTCTTTCATTTTTACCTAGCATATTGGCAAAGATTAAACATTTATTTTTTTTAAATCAATTTCATTGTACAGGAAGTAATCCTCTCTGAGTGTGACCCTGAAAGATTGTTTGATGAAAAATAAATAAAAGCAAAATACAAAAGCCATTCATTATTTTACTTTAGCAACTGCAGGCCAGAGCAGATGATTATTTCCAGCAAAGAGCCCTGCCTGCTGCCTTCCACATGTGGAGTAGACTCTGGCGATGGTACCAGCGGGAAAACGTCCTCAACACAAGAGCAGCCTGTTTTCACAGGTACGCTGCGCAGTTTCTGTCTGCACTGGGACATGTGTCTCTTCCAAATCAGCCAGCCATGCTTTGCTTCTCTCCCTCTCAGCCTTCCAGCCTTCCAGCTTCCGGTTCTTCCTTGGTTTTCTGTTATGTGGGCTTATTGATTTCAACTAACAGGAAAAGACAGTTATTTCCTTTGGAAAACTTTTGTCCATCTTTATTGCAAGTGCTTAACAAATAACCTGCGTTTTCTGCCCCATCTTCACCTCATGAGGCTGAGAACTCCATTACAAATACCGTTAGCTTTCTGGATCAGCACAGTAGGACCTGGCCTGCTGTTGGCAGGCATACTTGAGTGTAATTTCCCTGAAATACTTAGTTGCTGTTGCAAGACCTGGCATTTTGTACTCTCTCTCTCTTTTTTTTTTTTTTTTTTTTTGGTACCAGGAATTTTACTCAGGACCTTGCACTTGCAGGGCAGGTGCTTTGCCAGAGCTAAATCACTCTTAAAATTAGTCATCAAGATAGCTAATGAGGTAAAATATAACTTTATGCTTCTAGTGTTTAGTGTTTTGCTGACTTTGCAGACCTAAAGCCAGTAGTCTGATCATCTGTTCAGAGGATAATAATTTGCAGTGTAGCTTACATAGGAGGTCTCCTTTTGAAGGTAGTGGTCATTGTTAATTCCATTATGTTGTTTTGAAGTCCTGTATCATTCTCATTGTTTTGTTTGGTTGGGTTTTATTCTGTTTTATCTTGTTTGATTTTATTGTATGTGATGTCATGAGCAGCTATTTCAAGAAAACAAGATATATTATGGCAACCCTTTGGATTTACTATTATTTTGTTTTGAAGTCCTGTATTGCATTCATTGTTTTGTTTTTGTTGGTTCTATTCTGTTTCTGATTTGTTTAATTTTACTGTGGCTGAAGGAATGGGCAGCTGTTTTACAGACAAGAGGCTTCATGGTAACCATTCTTTTTTTTCTGTCTTTTTCATTTTTATTGGTACCGGGGATCGAACTCACGACCGCCTGCTTGCAAGGCAGGTGCTTATGCCGCTGAGCTAAATTCCCAGCCCCATGGTAACCATTCTTGATATCCTATTATTTTGTTTTGAAATCCTTACACTGTCTTATTTTGATTGGCTTTATTCTGTTTTATTTTGCTTGGCTTTATTTTCTCTAAAATAAAATTTTAAAAAATTGTAGTCGTCAACAAAATTGGAAAGATCCAGGAATTGCACTACGTCTCATATACCATAGGACCAAACTTGCCCATAGCAGGTCCTTATGACATGTTGGTGGAGCATAATGAAGAAATTATTAATTGCAATGTCAGCCACTGTGGGTTGGCATTATATGATGAAAGCAAGCAAGCAAATATATAAGCTCATTCTGCCTGTGACATAATTATCTTCTTTCATACTTTCCTTCTCATAGCTGTCTTGAGAGAGCAGATTGAGAATGATAAATGACTTATTTCCATGGTAACACAGTCAGTAAGTTGGGAGAGCAAGGATATAAATTCACATCTCCCCCATTCCAAAGTCCAGGTGCTTTCAGCAGAGGATCTCCTCAATAACATTGTAGGAGCTTTAAGCTCTTGTGAGAAGACAAGGCTAATACACAGGAAACAATTGAAAACCAACAGAATAAATCTTTGAATCCCCAGTTATATCAGGGCACAGATTCTTCTAGAGTCCAGAGCTAGTACTGAGGGTAGCTGGAGAGCAAGAAATTTTGTGGGGGTGACTTCTCAGGCAAACAGATGAGGATGGAGGCCTAACCTGAGAGTTAGGCTGATCCTGTAGACAGATGTTTGAGTAAGTGCATGGGACTAGTAAGGGGATAGTTATGGAGATTATCCTGAGTATACAGTACATCAATTTTAAGTTGAAGAGGCTGAGGGATGGGGCATATAATAGGAAAATTGTGGTAATCTTGAATTTGGAGGACCCCAGATGCCGATTTGAGATCTCCCATAACTCTGGAGCCCTTGAGTATAAAATCCAAGGACATGATTTTAGGGAGGTAGTTTCAGGGAATACGACTGCCTCTGCCCTCTTCTGCAGAAACAGCAGCTTCATCTTTACCTGACTGCTGTGTTGTAGTGTGATATAAAATCTATTTGACAAATGGTTTTATTATTTAAAACATACCCCCCTTTGTTTTCTTTACAAATAAGTAGTCTATACTTGCTTCTGTTGCTATTTATATTTTACATGCTGTGTAAGAAAAATTTTGAGAGTACCTTCAAATTTGTTGAGAGGAACCTCTACAAGGATTTTGACTGGGGAGCAAGCTTGGGTTTTTGGAGTTATCACTGGAGACAAGAGGCTGGCAGGTAAATTGGAGACAGGAAGTAACCAGGTGCCTTGAAGGATGGTGAAAACCTGACTGAAATTTTGTTACCATTTGGTGTTTTGACCTTTTCATTTTATTTTTTTGAAGGCAGAGTCTCACTATATAGTGCAGGCTGACCTTGAATGTTCTTATGTAGCCTCAAACTCATGGTGATCCTTCTGAGCCTTCCGAGTGCTGGAATTACAGGTGTGCAACACCAGGCCTGGCTGACCTCTTCATTAAATTTAGTCTTTCAGGTTCCTACTTCCTGATTTATGAGGGAACAGAGTAATTGAGAGTGTGGTTGGATAGCTGATTAGGCCCGAGTTCAAACCTTTGCTCTGCCACCTGGCAGCTGTTTGACCTGGGGCAAGTCACTTGCTCTGCACTTTGGTCTCCTTGAAAATAGGATAGAGATGGTTAGATAATAGTCCCTGTCTTGTAGTTTATCATGAAAACCAAAGGGGATAATACATGTCAAATACTAGCAAGGTACCCAGTGAAAAATGGAACAATTTTCCTAACCCCTAGAATCAGTTTGATTTATAGCTGTCATGTTAGGTAACTTTTTGTAGCATTGGTTCAGTGTTTAGCAAATTAAAATTGCCAGTGTCTATCTTCTGTACTATTAGGGAATATGCTTAACATTTGAAGAATACAGACAATTTATTGTGGACTTTCATTGATTATGACTAAAAATTATAATTTGTCCTTTTTTATTTGTACATTTTACATTTGTACATTATACATAATGATCACATTCATCACAGAGTTTGTTCCTGTACATGATACATCTTGATTCTTTTCTCTCCCATTCTCCTATCCTCCCTCGAACCCCTCTTCCTCTCCCTATTTACAAAAGCTTTGTTTCCATTTTTTCCTTTCTCTTTTTCTTTTCCCTTCCTTTCCCCTTCTCCCTAGTTCCCTTGCGATTTTAACATTTTCATCCTATTTCACAACACCTATTACACATTTTGGTCCTTATTTACACTTTCGGTTTCTCATACCAGTGCAGTCTATGCATGGATATCTGATATATTTCACTTGAGTATAGTCTCAAGGTGCTTCCATTTACCAAGGAATATCTTAAGCTTAACCTTCTTTATGGCAGCATAGTACTCAATTATATAAGAAACCACATTTTCTTTATCTATTTATCAGTTGATGGGAATTTGGGCTTTTCCAAGATTCAGCTAATACAAACTGTGCCACTATAAACATGAGTGTGTAATATCACTGTGGTATGATGCTTTTGATTCTTTCGGGAAGATACTCAGAAGAGGAATAGCTAGGTCAAGTGAAACCTTTAGTCCTGGCTGTTTGAGGGCTTTTCATACTGATTTCTACACTTTGAACCAATCTACACTCCCTCCAATAGTGGTTTTTTCCCATACCCCCACTAGTGTTTGTTAGTGGTTGATTTATTGATTACACCCACTCTTTCTGGGGTGAGATGGTATCTCAGTGTTGTTTTAATTTGCATCTCTGGAATGAGCAGTGATAATGAATATTTTTCTTATATTTATTTGCCATTTCTACTTCATCTGAAAAGTGTATATTAATCTCAGATGTCTACTTTTGGATTGGGAGGTCTGATTTTTTTTCGTTCTTTATATATTCTAGATTGTAGTGCTTCGAGGAACAGCTGACAAACATTTTTTTCCCACACTATAGGTTGTTGCTTCACTCTGTTGGTGGTTTCTCATGCTGTGCAAAAGCTTTTTAATAAGATGATATGCCATTTGTTGATTCTTTGTGATTCTGTGTAATTGGGGTTTTGTTCATAAAGTTTTTGCCTATACCAGCATCTTTGAGTTCTGCCTAGCCTATTTTCAGGAAATTTAGTGTTTCTGCTTTAATAATAAAGATCTTTGATCCATTTTCGTTTTAATTTAGTGCATGGTGAAAGACTTAGGTCTAGTTTTAATTTTCTGCATACAGAAAACCAGTTTTTCCAGCATTATTTATTAAAGAGGCTATTTTTTTAAATTTTATTTTAAAGAGAGTAAAACTAAACATAACAAAACAGAACAAAGCAGATCAGAAGGAAACAATGTAAATAACACAGATTTCAAAGCAAGACAACAGGAGATCATTACTAGCTATCATATTGTCTCTTGTTTTCTTCTAATAGTTGTCCAAGTCTTCGCATACAGAGAATTCATACAAAACAACATAGTATTAAACAGATCAAAACAGAATGATGAAGGCATTTTAGGCCTTCAAAACCAGACAATAGGGAAATCAACAATGGCTGCCATAATGTGTCTCCTTCTCTTCAAAATAGCTGTCCATACATTCATGTATGTTGAAATTAAACAATATAAGACAGATTAAAGTCACTCTGAATAAAGAATAATAGTATTGCTGGGTTTCACAGCATGACATTACAGAATCAGCACTAGATGCCATGTTGTCTCTTTTTCTTCAAAGTAGCTGTTCATTTCATGATGCATTATATAATCAGTTCTCATAAACTGTTTAGGAGAAGTTCTTTGCATGTATGAGTCTCTACATATATACCTATCCTTTCTGTATTAAAGAGGCTATCTTTTTTCCAGTGAAGATGCTTGGCACCTTTGTTAAAGATAATGTAGCTTAATATATTTGTAATATTTCTGCATCTTTTAATCTGTTCCATTGAGCCTTAGGTCTGATTTTTTTTCAGTACCATACTGTT